CTTCTTCGTCGGATGAAAACTGATGATGTTTTCTCTTCGAAGAAGTGCTTGGTTCTGTGGCTTCTGACCACAGCACTCTTTGCATTCTTGCTGTGAAAATTGTTTGGATCTCGTTGTAGTATGGGAACTGCTGCCTAATAGCTTCTGGCTCAGTAGTTTCACACGCCTGTCCATATCCAATATGTTACATGTATTATATGTAGTACATACATAAAATTTATATATTATTTTCATGTATGCATGTACATATATGAGACTGAGCATACGGTAATATGAAGATTGTAGCTTAACTGATTTAGTAATCTCGTTCATGTTCATCTGTCATGATTCATGCTAGTTTTATTGCCGCGTACTTAAACGTATAACGTATGTGCATATGTAGACGTATTCAACTATCATGTGATTAGTAAAACGCTACTCCCTCTGTTTTATTATAAGTGTCACTCTACAGCTGCGCACACGGATTAAGGAAATAATTAGTTTTATATATTTCCTATATAAAAACACAATTATCCATACACCTACCCATATTTTAACCAATAGAAAAACAAATTACAAAATAAAATTAATAAATTTTGCATTGAAAACCGAAAACGACACTTATTGTGTAACGCAAAAAATTCTCTACAACGACACTTAATATGAAACGGAGGGAGTAATTCATTAATAACGGTAACTGCAATTATTTTGTGGCATTTTGTGAACACGAGCTAGAGATGTTACCGACTCACCAATTACCATGCAAAATATTAGTAGCGTAATTAAAAAAAATAGAGAGAGATATCATTGGATAAAGGATCAAAATGTGAACATAAGCCATATCATGAAATTCACCAAAATTAACGCGTTAAAGTCTTATCTCTATCTTGTTTCCATTAACGGCAGGGTAATATCTAAACAGCCTAAGAGATTATGTTAATTACTTATTCATTCAAGTGTTTAATTAATCTATACATACATCATAGATTAGGTTTCCGATATTCATATCACCGCAAAGGAACTTAACCATACATCCACTTGAATGATAATAGCATGTTTCTAATTAATTATGATGCACACATATATACTTGTAATCCTGATAACAATATACGTATATAGTCAGTGTATCTATAAAGACTACAGATAGAATAATCATTAATGGATAGATAGTTGAAGGTAATTACCTTGTATCTAGTGACAAGGTTCTTCCACTTGCTCTTACACTGTTCTGCGGTCCGGGCAAAACCCTTGTCGGCCATTCTAGCGGCGACGACTTCCCAAAGTAGCTTGTTACGTTTGGTCTCCATGAAAGTCTGATCAAGCTCTTCTCTTATACCCAAGAGCTCCTTCGTCTCCTCTAAGCTCCACTGTGGGATTCTCTCACCTCCTCCGCCGGGATCCATCGCCGCCGCCGTACTCTGCGGCGGTGGAGGAAGTTGTTGCTGATGGATCAAGTGATGAAGCTGATGGTGGAAAGGGTTACGTTGGTCCATTATTGGGATCGAAGTCTTTGTGACGTAAAGAGAATGAGATTTTTTTTTTTTTTTGGGGTTTCCTTTTAAATGTAGAGAGAGTTTTTTTTTGTAAAAGAGGAGAAGACGTACAAGAGAGAAAAGGAGAGATTTTAAATAATTTATAAGGTGGTGTGAAAAGAAGGTGTGAAATCGTCAATGGACGATGAAGTATAGTTTTTTGTTTTTTTTCTCTACCTTTTATTTAAATTAAGATTTATATCTGATTGAATATACTAGAAGGTTATATAATTATTTAGTTGAATAAAATACGACCATTTTCTTTTCTTTCTGTGATAATGACACATTTCATTACTTGATTTGAAAATAATAGTGTAGATTTAGCTAACGCTCTTCGTAAAGTTTTTTGAGGTACTGTTTGACGTACTTAAAATAGGCATTTCAAACAATTTAGTTATAGGGGTAACTTGCATCGATTAAATATAAACAGAGTTAGTGAAAAATAATAATAAAGAAAAATTGAATTATATAGAAATCAATGAGTTGTGTTCCGATCCTCATTCTAGCACATGCTTATAAATATTGTTTTGTTAATAGTTGATAAATTTCGGCCTTATATAATATTACGTTTATATTTAGTCACGCTTACGAAATAAGACTTCCTCATTTTTTTCCCAATACTCAAATTTCTGAACAACCCCAATACTCAAAACAAACAATCATTTTGGCTTTTATGGTCAATTGACTAGCTATATTCCCCCCTTTCCATGATTCTCGTATTTTTTTTGTGACTAAAATAATTTTGTATCAAAATATTCATCGTAAATGAATTAATCTATTGGACGACAGAAAATATAAAATCACCTATCAGATTATGATATATATTAAATTTGTTTAGAGGGAGAGATATTGAAATTCATATTGAGAACCTCTCTATAGTTTAAAATTAGAATATTTGTAATTCACCTGTTGGAAAATGAATGCAGTGTGTTCCATTAGTGAAAACAAACAGGAAACCGTGCTTTATAGTTTAAAGTTAGAATATTTGTAAGATGAGTTTGAATATCTGTTATTTTCACAGTGCAATAAAATAAACTCAACTTTGCATATGTACCCTGCTTCTTTTTTTTTTAGTTTTGTTTAGGAACCCGTGTATATTTATATATAAAATGTATTGAATGATACAATTGCTGCCATATCCCAAAAAGGGTGTAGTAGTAGATTTGAAAGCCGCGTGATTACATCTGATACAAATGATATAGAAAGAGTAACGAGACTATTAGATATGTGGTTCAATCATGGTTAAGCTTCCTTTTACTTGATCATGGTTAAGTCCAGGTTTATTATGGTTAGTTCCGGTTAGTGTAAATAGGAGCTACTATATAAGTTAAACCTTGTAACAGAATACAGTTACGTTGATTGAATATAACAAACTCATTTTTCATCTTCTTCTTCTCAGCTCTGTGTTCTTGATCTACGATTCCTCTTTTCATTGTTTCTAGATCTTTAATAGAGACAAAGGATAGATAACAGTGAACTAAGTTTGTAAAATATTACAGAGAGCATAAATATTTGTGGGGGTTGCATCTCCCTCCCCCACCCCTTGATGTGCAAGAAGCAATAAAAAGGACCACACAAAATCCTACACTCATTTTGTTTCCAACAGAATGTAACTCAAGAAAATTTCAAATTTGTAATGTATAATATAATTAAATAAGTTAAAAATATTATATTTGGGTTTATTCAAAAAGGTAAAAATTATTATGTAAAATTACACTAAAGATATAGACTATTATTCCTTTTGAAATAAACAATAATTTTAAAGTGACATGTTTTATAAAATAAAGAGAATAAATAAAAAGGAAACAATAGAAGATTTCGTACAAAAAGAGGGAAGGAAATAATCTATTATATTAAAAGAGAAGTCACAACTTCTCTTCATGTGTGATTTTTTTAAAAAATGGACCCTTCATTAGAAAAGTTGTTAGGTTATCTTTTCTATTTGTATAATAAAATTTTAACAACCATATTTACTTCTCATTTTCATTCTCTCAATACATAAGAGCATTTAAATTAAATTAGCAATACATTTATATAAACATTTAAATATATGTTCAACGTTAAAAAATATATATCACTAATGTCATAAAATAAATAACATATGTATATAAAAGTGAAAACAACATCCGCGCGGTTGCGCGGATAAAGATCTAGTAGAAGATTAAGACAGGGGAAGTGGTCCATTTTCTGATGAACCGTGTTGAAAGTCAACACAAGACATGCACTGGACTCCCACCTGGATTCACACATTATAATATACTTTCGATTTATGTCGACTGAAATATTATTATAGTTTGACAACTTATTTCATTTTGGATCAGTACGACAGTTTTGCATTCCATTTCTTAATAATAAAGGGGCTTTAGTTTTTGTGTTTCTGACGTTTGCTACATGTTACCGACGTGGCGATCCAGAGTTCAGTCTTTAGATCTAACCAACAACCCTGGGGCGAAGCCACCTTATGAGGAGTGGTGGCAAGTGCACCCATGATTATATTGATATTCACAATTTAAAAGACAAAAAACATTGAATTTTTGGTGATTTAGATTGCAAAACAATGTGTTATTTACGGAGACGATCTTTTTAAAAGAATATAATAAGATATGGGAGGAGATAAAAACGTTTTTTAGCAGAAAGAAGGAAAGAGAGGAAGCATGATTAAGTCTCTTCTTGGTTGACAAGTAATAACAACAATTAGTCCCTGTCAACATCTCCATGTGAGTTTTGAAAAATACTTAATGCCAAAAAAGTTCTCTTAACTCAAATATAACTGCTAGGCAGTTGTTGTTTTTGAAAGTCTCGGAAGATTGCCAATTAAAATGTGTTGTTGCTCCTTGACGGTCTTAAGCAGTACGTAAAACGGCATAGCTAAGTCCAAAAAGCTTTGCCAAATTAAGATGCAACAGAAATATTAGAAACCCAAAAGATAAAACATATCTTTCTTACTAAAACGGTGGGATGCTCGTTACGTTTCTCAAGGAAGGTTATATTTTTTAAGTCATCAGAAGAACATACAAAAATACATAAAATCATTAATGTCCTACTACACTCTTGTTGTACTGTACAAACAAATGAGAGCTTTACTCCTTCACTCGGTCTTTAAGAAAATAAAGAAGATTCTGGCTACGGCGTCGTGTATATCATTAAAGAAATTGAGTTATGATCCCTCCTCGTCAACTAGAATGGACTCACTAACAGAATGAGCCCATCTCGATTGATTATGCTTTATAAAAAGGCCTGTGTTTTCTGGTTCAGTGGCATATGCAGCATTTTATCCCACATCGGTCCGTAGTGCCAAGGTAAAACTCAGGTTCAGTTGAGTACTAAACAGTCAGATCGACAACAGTTTCTGCACTCTGAAATTGACTTTGGAGAAACTAAAAAATTTAGTTGCAGTTCGGTTTACTAACACACACAAACATATCATTATCTCAATTAACATACAAGTTAGAATGCCAAGTCTAAACTTAGTCCATCTATTTTGTAAGACTTTTTTTATATTTCCCTCAAAGTAAACTCGTCGCTATGACTGAGACCGCGCATTTGACATAAGAAATGTGAATCTAAATCAATAACAGTCCTATAATACCATCCATCCATCTACACTCAATGGCAAAAACCAAATAACAACAGATGAATTAAGAGAATAGTAGTAGTACATTATTATTATTATTATAACTGACAACTTGTGTTCTTATTACTGCAAATGGAAGAATATCGATTACTAAGAAAAGACAAGCACAAAGGAAGGTGGAAGGATACAAGAAACTATCAAATTATCTTTCTTCTTTCACTCGGAGCGATTAGCGAACCTCTCAACCTTGTCATCGTTGAGATTGATCCCAACCATTGCTTCTCCAAGCCCACAGCTCACCTCCACGAGCATCTCCGGGTCACTGTAATGAGTCACTGCCTGCACTATCGCACGCGCCCTACGAGCTGGGTCACCGCTCTTGAATATACCTGATCCCACGAAGACACCGTCGCATCCAAGCTGCATCATGAGCGCCGCATCTGCCGGAGTAGCGACTCCACCAGCGGCGAACTGAACGACGGGAAGACGGCCAAGCTGTTTGGTCTGCATCACGAGAGCGTAAGGAGCAGCAAGCTTCTTAGCGAAAGTGAAGACCTCGTCGTCATCCATGTTCCTTAAAACCCTAATGTCACCCATAACAGACCTCACGTGCCTAACTGCCTCCACAATGTTACCAGTTCCAGCCTCACCTTTAGTCCTAATCATCGCCGCACCTTCGCGGATCCTCCTCAGAGCCTCCCCTAGGTTCCGGCAACCGCAGACGAAAGGGATCCGGAAATTATGCTTATTGATGTGGTGATCTTCGTCGGCGAGAGTCAGAACCTCGCTCTCGTCGATGTAATCGATTCCGATCGCTTCGAGGATCTGCGCCTCCACGAAATGACCAATCCTAGCCTTCGCCATCACCGGAATCGTAACGGCCTGCTTGATCTCCTTAATCATCTGAGGATCGCTCATCCTAGCGACGCCTCCCTGAGCGCGGATATCGGCGGGGACACGCTCCAAAGCCATGACGGCGCAAGCACCGGCTTCTTCCGCGATGCGAGCCTGGTCAGCGTTGACGACATCCATGATTACACCGCCGCGGAGCATCTGAGCCAGACCCACCTTCACGGAGAAGGGAGATTTCTTCGCCTCCGTTATCGCACCGTTTCCGTACACCGCCACTACGCTGGTTCCTTCCATTTTCGGAATCACAGAGAAATTTAAAAAAAATAAAAAATTGTGGTGAGACGATTTCTGGCCAAACCTCGCCTATCTTGGTCTCAGCTTTATAGTGAAAAGTTTGTAATAAACACAACATACTTTACTTTCATTAATTAATTAAATTCTTCATTGGGAATTGTGGGATTGGCTTCCTTCGGGCGGTCTAGATTTTCTTTTATTTAAGTACAATCTTATCTTTATTATAACAAATATCATTAAGTAAAAATAATTGTCCAATAATAAAATACACTATATATAATTAATCACTAATCTTTAATAATTATTACTTTGAATCACTTGTTTGTTAAGTGTTATAAGAACACTCCATCAAAGGTTGATGAAGGGGAGTTCACATCCTTTCCAAAAAAAAAAACAAGTTAGTAAAATCTTGTAAAAATTTTGAACTCAAGTCGCAGGAAATCTCTACCATGAATCGATATCATTACTATTTTATGGGTCGAACAAGAACTGATTTTTGGTTTGGTTTGAGATGGAGCTTTGGTTTGAAACTAGAACTCAAAACTGAAGAAAAAAATATTATATTGTGATGTAAAAATAAAAAAAAAATTTCTTGAAAAATTTAACATTCAATTCCAAACAAAATATTAATTATTTTATCTATAATAGTGAGAATATTATTATTTTTTATTATTAAAATATTATTTTAACATTAAATAGACTGATACTGATAAAGTATTAAACTAGTTATTCAAAAATGGATAATCTATTTGACTAGGTGGTAACACAGCTTAAATAACATGTCTACATTGGAGTTCTAGCAACTAACCTTTGGGTAATAGTTCGATAATTTAGTAGTAAACCTATAATCATTTGGTCAAACAATCCAAAAATGTTTCTACACTTATACTATTATTTATTTTGGGCAAATCTACAAAATAGCATTTTTCTAAGTTTATGTCATAAAAATAGTCTTCAAAAATTAAAATGACTAATATAACATTTTATCTTTTGAAATTTTTTTTCTTTTTTATTTTTCAAAATTTGCAATCTTATCCCCAACTCTAAACCCTAAACTCTAAAGCCTAAACCTTAAATTCCACCCTTAGTTCTAAACTCTAATGTATAAATTAATTTATCATTGAGATATAGATGTATATTTATCTCTTTTAATAAAATATTAACTGTTATTTTGATCATTTTTATTCTTAAATACTATATTTGTAACAATTTTTTTTTAGTGCTATCCTAATCATTTTCTCATTTGTTTTTCTTCAATTTTAGTTACGTAGTTTTTTTTAGTTTTTATGGATAAACACGGAAAATCTTCTGACACCAAACAATGTAACTGGACCTCGTAGAATCCACGACTATCGCTCTAGTCCGCATTAAGTGTTGCATAAAAGACAAATAGAAAACAAAAAGAGTTGGCAGATACTAATTCGTTGCACGCTTTAAAATATTCTGGAAAGCATCTTTTCTTCCCAACATCTTTAAACTTATTCATTAACCATCGATGGCCAATCGTTTGATGAACAATTGGGACTACGAGAAATAATTATATTTATTTTTCTTACAATTATTTTGGTTTTGTAATTAAAACATTTCAAAAAATAATACTCCTACTTAATGAAATATATCAGAAATAGTAGTGGTTTGCGATGATGATAAAAGAAATAAATAGGCGGTTGTGGTTGATTAGTAAGGCCGGCCTCTCGTTTGAAATCAGTAGATTTTTCCACTCACTTGACCCGGCGGCCCAACACTTCCCAACTTGGTCATTTGACTTCTATAATGCCAATTACTTAAAGTCCAAAAATATATCTCGAGTCCAACAGTTAGATTAACCCTAGAGATGAAAAGAATCCGGAAGAATAAACGCATGCTAAGTAACAAAACCCCAAAAAAAAAACACAAGAAAGAAAAGCAGTTTGAGGCAATTACATTTCCCATGCAAAACTTTTGGAAAGGGGGGGGGGGAACAGATAAAGATATATATATATATATATATATATGTGGAACCATTCAATGGATTAGAACGTATGACCCTGTCTGCAGAGCGATGGCAAACTTGGTTCAGTCGAAAACAACACACATATACTCGAACCTATCTATCTAATCAGAAGAAAGAGTAAACATAAAACTGAGCAAAGGAAATCGAATTAAATTTTATTGCATTTTTTCTGATCACGTTAAATGTTACGATCTATACAGTTCCTTTTGTGCCTGAGCTGACTCTATGTTGTTATTTTCTTCTTATCAAGGTTCTTTAGGCACCTTTGCCTTTGCTTTCTTCTGTTACTTGTTGTTATTGCTGGGGGGCAATGATGCTTTGGTTTGAAGTTGGTCTTCATTTATCATTCTATCCAATGAAGTAAGGCTTTGAAATATATTTTTTTGCTACTTCCGAGGCCTTTTCTGTATTTTGGATTCTCATAAGCCTTTTTAAATTGTTACCAGATGGGGAGCCACTCTAATGAACTCTTTCCTCTTCAATATCGGTCTCACTCTAATGAACCATTTCGTGTATTGCTGCTAGTGCTCTCTCTGTACACACAAGTCTTTCTTTTATACAAGTTAAATAGGAACTGAGGGAGTCACGGTCCTTGCTTGTATTATTAAATAAGAAAATGCCAACTAGCTATCGCGAAATGTTCATATGTATTAACGTAGATGACTGGGAAACAGCCAATTCCGTAGTTATGGTGTCTTGCATCGAATACGAAATAGTAATACTTTACTTGGGAAAAAAATGCATATAAAATATTCAAAAGCACGTAGTTGATTAGGCTACTTATTGAAACAGGCAATAAAATAAATTTATGGAAACTTCGAGGGAGCTTCGCAAGATGAAGACATAAAAATAAACTCATGGGTTTTGATTTTGTTGTATTATAGAACAACGACTCGTCAAACTCATGAAAATGTCGACTAATCTAACTATAAGAAGAAACCGAATTGATTTTAAAGTCAAAGCAAAAAAAAAAGGGGGAATAAGATTTTTGTATGATCTTATTCCCTAAAAATGTATCACTTAAATTTTCACAGATTCACAAAAGATATTTTCTAAACTCAATGATCTTTTTTTTTGGGTTCATATCTGCACCAAAATAAATGATTTGTTCCTGTATGGATTTGAATACAAAGAAAAGAATCAGAGTGAACATTCATTCAATAGTTCAGTTGATTGGAGAAAAGTTCATTAAATCGTTTGGAAATTACAAAGTAATATTAAAAATCTTAGCTAAGTCAGGCCTAAAACGTTGACCTAATGAAAAACGGATATAACATATGTATAAATATATTACAATGAAAACAGCTTTACATGATTCAAATAGTTGCGTAAAAGACAACTCACATTAGGTTTTTCACCAGAGATAGAGAGAGAGAGAGTCAACGAAGAAAATGTCGTGGATTAGTACGGAAGCATCGCAGAGTGTCTCCCTCATAGAGAATGGCGGCGGAAGCGAGAAGCGGACGGCGGAGCTATCGAGAAGTAACCGGAGAACGGTGCAGAATCTATCGGCGACGTCGTTGATGAGGAAGAGATCGGATCTGAAGCTGATTGCGAGAGTTCGATGGGAGTTTATGAGGAGAATGTTGACGAATCTTCATGAAGTTCTTCTCGGCACAAAACTCTTCCTTCTCTTTCCCGCCGTTCCCCTTGCCGTCCTCGCTCACCGCTATGGATGTCCACGTGTATGTTACTCCCTCTCTTATTCATCGTAAATGTTTTCTTTTTTTTTACATACATATTTTCTTTTTGTTTGCTGGTTTCACAATCACTTTTACAGCCAATACAATTTAGTTTAGTTTATAACTCTATATATATATATTGGCTTTTGTGTAAACAAAACAGGCGTGGGTGTTTGCGTTGAGCTTGCTTGGATTGATACCTTTGGCTGAACGTATTAGTTTTCTCACAGAGCAAATTGCTTTCCATACTGGTCCAACAGGTGAGATCATTTTTGTTGTTGTTCTTGACTAGCTATTTGTAGGCTATTAATATATCCCACATCGGTGGATATATTGGTCCTTGGGCAATATATATATATGTGTATGGGCAATCCTCCACTCTTGAGCTAGCTTTTGGGTGTGAGTTAGGCCCATCACTAATATGGTATCAGAGCTCATGGTTTGGCCCAGCATTATGATTGGACAATATATATGTGTATGGGCAATCATCCACTCTTGAGCTAGCTTTTGGGTGTGAGTTAGGCCCATCACTAATATAGGCATTTGAATTGTACCGAATTAACCAGCCCTAAATGGACTCCCCCCCCTATATATACAGTATGTAGCTTTAAATTTTGTTTGAATATAAAACTAATAAATAATTGGATGAATGAAGTCGGGGGATTAATGAACGCGACATGTGGGAATGCGACGGAGATGATAATAGCGATTCTAGCGGTTGGACAAAGGAAGATGAGGATTGTAAAACTATCACTTCTTGGCTCTATCCTCTCCAATCTTCTCTTCGTCTTGGGCACTTCTCTCTTCTTTGGTGGTCTCTCCAATCTCCGCAAACACCAATCTTTTGACCGAGTTAGTCCAAAACTCATCTCTCTTCTTTTACTTCTATAACATTCTTTTTAATGTGAATTACGTTTTAATCTAATCTTCATCTCTTTAACTGTTTATAAGAACAGAGCCAAGGAGATATGAACTGCATCTTGCTGTTTCTGGCGCTATTATGTCATACACTACCAATGATATTAAGATTCGCAACAGAGGCTGCTGGGGGAACAGCAGCAAGAAGCGAAGATGGATCAGATGTTCTTGTCTTGTCAAGAGCAAGCAGCTTCGTTATGCTCTTTGCTTACTTGGCTTTCCTCATCTTTCACCTCTTCTCTTCTCGCCTCACTCCTCCTCCTCCTCCTCCTCCTCCTCAGGTTCTCTCTAAACCTCTTCATAATTGTTATTTTCCTGTGCTGCCCCTTGTATCTAATGTTTGCTTATGTTTAATATATAAAAAGAGGGAAGAAGACGAAGATGTTTATGACGATGACGTGAGTGACAAGGAAGAAGAAGCTGTGATTGGAATGTGGAGTGCTATTCTCTGGCTTATTACAATGACACTACTCGTTGCTTTGCTCTCCGACTACCTTGTCTCCACAATTCAGGTGTGTGTGTGTGTGTGTGTTTATCTATAAAGCCAAAAAGACAACCAATTTTCTGAGTGATAAGAAAACAGAACTAGTTTGGTGTTCAAAAAAAAGAAAGAAAACAGAACTAGATGTTAAGTTTAGACCTACGTATAAGGCATATGAGCCAGACCCTTTTAACCGCTAGTTGATTTTTAATTTACAAATGTTCTAAGCATTTCCGTTTACTAACTGTATATACTTACATATGAAATGGATAGAACGCAGCAGACTCGTGGGGACTATCGGTGGCATTTATAGGAATAATATTGTTACCAATTGTTGGTAATGCAGCTGAGCATGCTGGCGCCGTCATCTTTGCCTTCCGTAACAAACTCGTACGTCTTAATATTATTACTTCTTTCTAATTATATTAAAAACAAACAATTCATCAATCTATTTGCTTGTATTATTCGGAAAAAAATTAAAGTTGATAGATACTCTTAAAACGTACAGGATATAACTCTGGGAATTGCGCTTGGGTCTGCAACACAGATTGCTTTGTTCGTGGTAAGCTAATTGAACTTTACCATACAACTATGTAGAGGCACATTAATTATTAAGTTACTATTTTAATTTTGATAACCTGGTGCTAACTGATTTTAAAAAAAAATTGTAGCTGACAATAGTTTTTATATAAAAATAGGTACCAGTGACAGTGTTAGTGGCATGGGCAATGGGGATAGAAATGGACCTCAACTTCAACCTCCTTGAGACCGCTTGTCTTGCCTTGTCCATCCTCGTTACTTCCTTCACATTGCAGGTGCGCTTTCTTCAGTTTATTTGTTTCTGATTAAATATAACACTTAGTTTAATAACGAAGATTTGTATAATTTTGATTTAATACATTCTATTATTGATAGGATGGGACTTCGAATTATATGAAAGGCTTGGTTCTTCTTTTGTGTTATACTGTCATTGCTGTCTGCTTCTTTGTCTCTAATTTACCTTCAAGTAAGCTTTGCCGTTTTGTTCATTAATTATTTTTTATTACTGTCTTCAATTTTCAGTATTACTATTGTTTCGTACGATAATATGCCATTCATTTTGTTTTGCATTTTCTCCATTGCAGCGGAAACCATTACAACTAATCATACATTGACATAAAGGTATGTTATGCTTTTAATGTACTAATTAATCATGTATACCCTAATTAAACTTCCTTAGAGCACCCCATCAAAGGTTCAGATGGGGGCTCATACGTTTTTTTAAAAAAAAAATAAAATAAAATAAGGAATAGTGATGAACCCGACTCTTGCAGATTTTCAGCGGTGAACCCGGTTCATCACTGTAGCGCAGACCCTACGATATATATATATATATATTTTTTTTTTTTTTTTAAAAAAAAAAAATAAATAAAAAAAAACAAAAAAAATTTAATAATAAAAAATTGATTCATTGATGTGGATGCTCTTATGTGCTTAAGATCGAAGTTCTTAAGTACACTACTTGTTCTTATTGTCCCTCCACAATATATTAAGCAACTGAAAAATGAACAAATACCAAAACAACCTTCTACAGAATCTATATAATATTTTTGGTTAATTTTAAGCTTTAATTTTAAGTGAAAATAATTTCGTAGTATAAGAAAAAAAAATGAATAATAAATAAACAGTTTCTCAGAGTAGATTATATATCATGATATATGGTTCATGTTTTTGCAGGTAAATGGATCATGTTTACTCCTTTTTGTAATTTTCATATTTTATTTCGACTTATTTGTATATATTAAATTAATATTTTATGTAAGATTCTTTTTGCTACATTATTATTTGTTAAGGTAGTCCTTAAGGCCAAAAAACATATACAAATATTAAATTTGAAAGTATCTAAACGAGATGCTCAAATGTTGGAGAAGGCCCAACTAAACCCACTAATTTGACAAGCCTCCTTTACCAACCTTAGACATCTTTATATATTAAAACAGAAGTCATGACTTGATTTCATGTGTGATTTTTTTAAAAATGGACTATTACTAGAAAGTTATGTTACATTAACTCTCTAATAATATTATCATTATTATATCTTATAATATGCTTAACAATTTTTTTTTGGTAAATTACCACACACCTTCCAACTTAGTCACACAAAATATGTCAATAGATATAAATTTAGGAATATTCTATTATTTATAAGGAAATATGACAATAATAGTTAAATGCATCCAGAATATATTAACAAAAATCACAGATTATTAATATGTAATATTTATATACCTTAACAAAATTTACACGTTATATATATTAGATAAATTTATTTCGATGTAAATTTTTAAATTTGTATTGTTTAAAAAAAGAAATTGTTTAAAAAATTCCTTTTTAATAAACTTTTATAATATTAGTTTATGAAGCTATAAGTTTAGTTTTTAGCAAAAATTTCTTCGAAGTTTATATTATCTTTGCAAATTAAATTACACTAATATTTAACCAAGCTCTATTTATATTACTTTATCTAAAAATAAAATACTAATCTAACAAACAATAAAATATAGAAGAAGAAACAAACACATGTTTGAAAGTCATGTATAACATAGAAAATTTGAAACAATTTATTTGATTAAAACACTTATTATATAATATTATTATGTTTGAAAAACATTTACTATACATATCGTAAATATGTGTTTACTATAATATATACCAATTTACAAGTGAAAACAAAATGTTTATATAACTATAAACGAAAACAAACACCCGCGCGGTTACGCGGGTCAAAATCTAGTGTCAATTAGGTTTGAAATCCAGAAGTCATCTCCATCCAATCATCCAATCTTATTAATTTCGTTAGCTTATAATATTGTTTTAAAGCGTAAGAAAAGTACTATTGTTGAAGAAAAATAATTCAAATTGACTACATACAAGCAAATGAAAAGTCAAAAAATAAATAAATAAAAACTTAGATGTTTTTTACAATACTGAAAGTGACATACAATGTTATAATTATTTTGTTCTGAGAAATAATGAAGCCCGGAAAGTCTCATAACCTATTTTGACCGGTCGAGTTTTAAAATATGAACTCAAAATATTTCCAGGTCGAACCAGACTCAAATATTGACAGGCTTAACGGGTTTTGGGTCGGGCTAAGCGAAGCCAGCCCGGTTGACATCACTAGTGGACCCCATTAATTTTTGTCCCAGAAGTACATAAAAAAACAGTCATGTTTGTTAACAGCGGTCACCCTTTTATAGGTACCCGATGACTGACCCATTGACCTGACCGGTCACCGTTTTATAGGTATCATTGAGCGTTGAGTTATTGGCTTATACCGTGGCTTTGTCCCCAATGCACTCAAAAGCATGCCAAAGAGCAGGTAAGTTTCTTAGACCATCCGCATTAGTGAATCTCTTGAAGGGGTTCATGAGATTTTTATAATACTTTTTTATGGGTTTGTAAACAGTGATGAACCTCTATCTAATGTTTTCTCGCATTAGTGAACCTTAAAAAGGGGTTCTTAGGAATAAAATATATTTTTTTATTGTCACCGATATAACCCTTTTTTCATTAAAATTAATGAACACGGACCTATGATACCGAGCCCAATATCCGGTGTAAAACCGCTAATGCGGATGGTCTTATATCTACATTTGTATGTAGATACTTGTTTCAGTATAAAGCTTACAACGTTCGACAACGTCAAGAAACTCATTGCAGCAAGTGAGAATGAATGATGATAATCGCAATTCGCAAAGAAAAGCAGCAAGTCCTCCGAACCCAACCTATGAAGAAACCTGAAGCCGCTGTTAGTTGAACTCCATTTATTCCCCCCGTAATCCTAAGATCTATGTTATGTTTTTTTTTTTGTATTTTGAATTAAATATGAAAACCCATGCAGTGAGTATAAGTCATTTTTGTATGTCTCGCTTTAACCTAATGAAAAATTATTGCATGGCTATCTCTTGATTTTAAAAACTCCATAAATATTTATAATAAAATTTGTAGTTAATGGTTCTTTTAGAACTCCTTCCTCAAGGATAAGGATGAGGTGGTCTAAGAGCACCCCCATTGAAGGTTCATGGGGGGAGTCTATACGGAAATCAAGAAAAAAAATAAAAAAAATAATAAAAACCTATGAACCCCTCTCTCCTAAAGTTCACCGCGGTGAACCCCTCTCTCCTGAGGTTCAACACGTGGCGGCTCGGGATTGGTCTAGAATTTTTTTTTTGTTTTTTTTTTTAAAAAAATCAAAAAAAAAACTGAAAATTTTTAATAATAAAAAAATGAGTCAATGAACCCCAAGAGGGGGTTCATTGATGTGGATGCCCTAAGAACTTCATCGGTAAAAAGGGTATGCTTCCCACGCCACCACATTACAACCCGGAATTACTATAATATTGTAATATGGTATTGTGGCTGTAAAATTTGATAAAACAATAATTTATAATATAGAAATACTGATAACTTGGAAAATTAACATATTTTAGGATGTCTTTTTCTCTTTATTTGTCAGCGATATAGTTTTACAGAGTTTTTTTTCACAAAACCATCTCCAACAATAGATTTCTATTAAAGTTCTAAATTAATTTTTAAATAAAAATAAGTAAATTAAAAATTTTAAATACTTGTTTACTTCTAACTCCTTTAATAATATAAAAAATTAAAGGTTCTAAATTTCAAAAATTTGTCACCCTTATGCCTATTTTAATTTATTTTTAAATAATATCTATCACGAAATGACACATCTTATTTAAATTGGTTCCAAAAACTCTAACTGTAAAATTATATCTATCTAATTTGTGTTTTTAAAATTTTAATTTCAACACATAATTAGTTAGATACAAGATTTAATTCCCATGAATCTTCCTTTGGAGATGATCTAATTAATACATGGATTATTTTGTTAATCTTTTATAGCTTGAACTTGTTATTAAAAAGAAAAGTGGTCCAACGCAGCCTTATATAGGCAGACTTTTTGGTTTAAGAAAAGATTACTTTCAAATATTCTTATGGACTTGGACATTTGTGTATAAAACCTCAAAGAAAAATTGTCCAGCTGTGTCTATTTTTCAACTTGTATAAGTGCTTTCTCTTATTATCAATATGGCGGGAGATTTAGTTGGCTCCAAATTTCTCTATTGCATTATCTGATTTTCCATGTAATCGTTATCAATATGACTTTTTTTTGTAAATGAATGTCCAAGTTTTGCTCTCTTTTCTTTTTTTGGGTCCATGTGTTTAACTTCTGTAGGTAGCATTGAGTTCTGTCACGTCATGTCGCCATGTGGAATAAACTCTACCTCACCTATTCGGACCTGGTGAATGGATTTTCATCTGTTGGGTGTATTTGTGTTGGATATCCATGATAAAATTGACAATGTTCAACAGCCAAATGTCCACATATAACGAGACTAATGAGGTTATTATATAATCTCCAAAAGGAAATAGTTTCCCGGACCACCTTAATGAAAATGCCAGTTTTACCATCAAAATCAAATGGACAAATGTCTTTGAAACCAATCATGCATGATGATGATTAATGATTTGAGTTACAATATATAAATAACATATGATTTCAGTCAGGTAAGGCTTTCATTTCCACTCTATAAAAACATTCAGTATATATATGAAAACATCCAGAAAAGCTATGTTATAGCTTTTGCTTCAAGCTAACCTTTAAGTAACATTTAATTAGAAAAGCTGACTAAATTATTATAACAGAAATATATAGACATCCCAACAAACCTAATTTTTAAAATTAAAATAGGGTTTGTTGATTTTCTATTTGAAAAGTAAACGAATTAAATTGAATTGCATCATATTTTAAAATATTAGAGAATCAGTTTGCATGATATTCAAGTCAATTAAGAACATTATTCAACGGCGGAGGTTGAATAAAAATAGATTGTAATTGTTAAATAGGACAATCATTTTGGTTTAGCCATTTAACAATTCCAATTTCTTCAAAACCATCAATTTTTTTTTTTTTTGATGCATGCAACTTAGTCATACTCTATTTAGTTTTTTTTTTTTTGGGTCAAAAGTCATACTCTATTTAGTTATTATTACTAGATTGAGAAAAACATTAATATATCCGTACCGTTAAACGCGGTTGTCAAACGAGTCGTAAAATGCCAAACGAGTTAATAAAAAAAGGGAGGGAAAACTAGCCCTAACATTATACATGCCTTGCATTGCAAGTTACAATGAAAGTGAAAAAACAAAAGAAAAGTGGACTATCTACCACTGATAAGAGAAGTGGAAGAAACCCTTGTAATGGAGAAAGATGTGACTGAGCTTGAAGCCCTATCAGACGAAACGTAACCTCCAAACTTGGATCCTAAATCACTTGTTGAAGAATCTGAATATCCCCAATGGTCATCAATCTCAGGAACATCATCGTCTCCGTTTAAATACCTAAGCACCATTCTCATGGACGGCCGAGACTCCGGTCTTTGATGGCAACAGAGCAATCCAACGGCGAGGGAAACCTTTGCCTCTATACTGTCGTAACAAGATCCAAGTCTAGGATCGACAGAAGTGAGTATCTCACCGCTCTCACGCAACTCCATAACCCAATCTGCCAAGAAGAAGTTTCCAGAGTCCGTAGGTCTTCTCCCGGATACGATCTCTAGCATCAAAACGCCAAACGCGAAAACATCAGACGCAGTGGAAGATTTACCGCTGCGTGTGAGCTCGGGGGCCATATACCCAATGGTGCCGACGACTATGGTGGTGTGCGACAGCGATCCGCGTTCGTAAAGCCTGGCGAGTCCGAAATCTCCAAGTCTAGGGTTCATGTCATCATCGATGAGAACGTTGCTTGGTTTCACGTCTCTGTGGATCACAATCTTTTCCCATTCTTCGTGGAGATAGAGTAACCCGGACGCGACTCCCTTGGCGATCTGAAAACGCACGTTCCAAGATAAAACGGCGCCGCTCTGTCGCGGTCTACTGTAGAGGAGAGAGTCTAAGCTTCCGTTGGGGATGTAGTCGTAAATGAGCAAGAGATCGTTCTTGTGTTTGCACCATCCTTGGAGGTTCACCAGATTCTTGTGCCTTAAACGCCCCAAACTCTCGATCTCGGACACGAATTCTCTCACACCTTGCATGCTATTCGGAGTTATCTTCTTCACGGCGATCTGATCGGGAGAAGAAGAAGAGGAGAGGCTTCCTCTGAAGACGGTTCCGAATCCACCAGTGCCGATGATCCTGTTCTCATTGAATCCATCAGTAGCAGAGTAGAGATCTTTGAATCTAAGCCTGTGAGGATGATTGATCTCCCAGTCTTCGAGAATATCTCCTTGTTGCAAACGCTTCTTGTAGATGAGGAAGAAGAATAGTAAAGCAAGCAAGATGAGGGTTACTCCCGAGAGGGCCACGATGAGAGCGAGGACCTGAGGATCATGACCTCTCTTCTTGGCAGTGTTAGGAGGAGGAGGAGGAAGCTCCGAGAGGTTTATGGGTTGTGCTGAAAGGGGAGGATCTACGCCGCTGCTTGAGGAGAAACTCCAACCCATCACGTAATGAGCACTCGACTGATCTCTCCCCGTGGCTGCAGTGAAACCCACGTACATTTCTTCTTGCACGATCTCTAACAACTTTGGAACTGGTCGCGAGATCAATGGCTTTACTGGTTTAGACTTCAAACTCGCCGGATAAACCGTGAAGTTGAGCGTTTTTGTTGGTCCGTCGTATTCCAAAAGTGCTTGTATCGGGTCACCACTCTGAAGCAGGAAATCCTCTTTTCGGTCAGACTCGTTATTGTCGTAATACACCACCGGTTCCTGAACATCCGATGCCAGGTTGTTGAAATTCAGACCGATGTGATTCCCCGATCTATCGGAAACGTCTTTGAATCCTTGTACAGTGTCGAATTCAACAGCGAAAACGTGGTTCGTAAGATTCCCGTCGTTTCTTTCGTTCAGAAGTCCCAAGTACTGCGCCGATTCGGCTCCGGGGCGGTCAGGGGTCGGAGATATGGTGAAGGTGAATCCAAAACCTCCGTTGCTGGAGCTTGTAGGGATGATGACGAAGACGAACGATGTGCTAAAAGAAGCAACCATTGTGGAATTTGCGAGCAATCGTACCGGTTTATTGTAGAACGCTGTACCGGTAACGTTTGCGTTTCGGTCAGTGAGCCTCAACAATCCGTCGGGTTTGATCGTCGCAGCTCCAGTCGTCAGAATTTGCGATTGGTTTCCGCTAAAACCACGGAAAGTGAACTCTGTTGTTGTTGTTGTTGTTCTCTGAGCTCGTCTAACAGGGATAACAGTCAAAATCAAGAACAAGAGGGAGAGGACAAGCATGGATCTTTCAGTTCCCATGAATGATCGGTGTAAAAGGAAACCAAGAATAGGTTCGAAAGAAGAGAAGATAAAAAAAAAAGATGTTTGTTCTCTTATATATATTTTAGTAGTTTATAGCTCTTCTTATAGTTAAGTAGGAGAAAGAAATTTGCGTCATGCGTGCGTATTTTCGTCCTCATTGCTAACTGGTTCACATTAACCTGTTGACAATACATGGAGGAATCCCCATGGTTTTGTTTTTGTTTTTTGTTTGTGGTTAATTCAATAATTACGTACAAATTTTCAAACAAATATATATTCAGCTAATCATTTTTCAATATTTTAATGTTGTGGCTGTGACCAAACACTGTCATTTATCATTTTTAAGCAATTGATGTTTATCATTTTTGGGTCAAGATTTGAAAATTCTATCTTTAAATTGTGTTCTGATATATTTATTTACTTGAGATCACGTGTTGTAAATGCAGTTTGAAAATGGTTAAATTAAAACACAATATAGATAGTGAACATGAATAAAGAAGTAAAAGTAGTATAGCTTTGATGAGGAAATTTAAAATATGAATACTGATAATTTGGCAATAAATAATGTAACTTTTTTTGAAAAATTAGTCAACAATTTATATTAATGCGTATAATTCATTCATAAGGTGTACAACCATGAAAATAGAAAACAATAAACTTAAGGACATATAATAAATACCTCATAGAAATATAGAGGATTTTTATTTTAAATATTACTAGTTCATATACAAAATTATGTAATTTGGTAGCATTTCAAGTTTCAACATATAACTAAAAATTTATATTTTAAATTTAGGATGTTGATATTACAAAGGATTTCTTCTATGCTGAAAACTAGTTTTTTTCTAATAGGGCCCACCGAAGCTTATGGAGCTGACTTTGACAAATTCCATATTTGCTTTGAACCTGTAAATATTTATACTTTTGAAAGAAAAGCGAACAGAAATTGACTTTTGAGCTTTGGACATTATGTGATTTAAGTATGGGTTATAACTTATAAGAGGAGTTCCAAATCTATAGGACTGCAGTAAATTTACTTCCACCAGTGCTTAATGTGAAAATAATATCGGATCTTTGCTCAAAAACAAAAAAAAAATATCGGATCATTCATTACCTTTTAGACTTTAGTTGAAATAAAGCGCTCGTGCTTTATTATGTTTTCACTTCTACCATAAACTGAACGAAGTATTTATTGCCTTCTATTACGAAATCTCTCTAGTCAATTATTCAAATTTGGTCGCATAGATATCCTTATCAGTTAGACTTTGTAAATGTTGTACTATTTCAAAATTCCATTTGTATTTACTCAAAAAGTCCTTATGATGTAGTCTTGAATTATAGAAAGATCACGTCACTTGGTCACGGCAGTGTTTTTCTCAAACCTTATAATCCAAATTTGAAACAATGTACAAGTCAATATGAAAACATTGACCATCTTATTGATCAAATATGGTTGGATGCAAGGAAAGTATTTGATATGCTAGCACAAACTCTCGAGCATTAAAGGCCGTTACAGGAATCTCTCCAAGGTTAGGTATTTATTTCAGGCAATAGTTGGCCAAAGTAATAAGGCAATGGGAATAGATAAGTATAGAGCAAGTAATGGATCAGATAGTACCACCCCCTTCTTCTGATTTCTCGTTGAAAATTTGATTGGTATTTTCTTTTGTTATTTGGGTGTTGCAGAGACTGTTCAGAATTGACTACAACCTTAGTGTTAGAGTAGGGCAGAGGGCCTTGGGCGTAATTCTGGTTATTGGGATGAAAATGAAAGTGGCTCCAAATAAATGATATATAAGCAAAGACTTGATTAATAAGTGATAACTAGAAGAGAACATCTTTTGGTTGTCGAATTCTTTACCAGCAAAGCATAACGTTTTGGCTTTGGTGTGTGGGTTGTTTGTCTCTCATATTTACCACCAGCACACACACCACCATGGCGTTTTGGGCGTCTTCTGTAACATGGTTAGCGTGCTACTGGGATATTGAGTTTATTTGGAAAATACATCCTGTTGCAACATAACAAACAGACTCGAAAGCCCATTAAATCCAGTAATGGGTATCAGATTGCGAGGCCCAATAATTATTTGCAACAAAGTTGGGAATTGCCGCCATAACTTCAAATATCATCGTCCTTGTCCAATTCTGAAGCACTTTGATGATTCCCATATCTCCAACTTATTGACATTAATTATGATTTATGCAAAGACAATCTGATTGATATACAGTCTCAATGGAGGAAGGAAGGAGGGGGTAGTCGATAGATTTATCAGAGGGATATAGAGGGGCCTGATTTTGTAATTACCACCTGTCATATATCTATTGGCTTACTGGAATAGTTTGCTCAGAAACGAGTCTTACCGTGCGAGACCCAACGCCTTGTTGGTTCCTTCCTATAATTAAGGGAAAAAAAAAACAAGATCTCTTCGTTTCTTTTATTGTCTATAAAATTTAGAAAAGTCTCATTTGCTTTTTTTGCCTTCGATTTTTTTGGATTTTCTGAAAGAAATCTTTAATTGAAATCAAGAATAATGGATCAGATGTTCAACAAGGTTGGATCCTACTGGTTAGGTCAGAAGGCGAACAAACAGTTTGACTCTGTCGGCAAGGATGTCAACGTACGTACACCCTCCCTCTCCTCCTACAATTATAGTTACCAATCAATTGTTTTTTGTTTTTTATTTCGGGATCAAAAGTTTCATCTTGATCAATTTTCATTATCACCTTATTAATAGTTTCTTTGAATTTTCCGTATATGTAGCATGCATGATCTCTGCATATTTGTATATGTTTCGTATGGAAAATGAACCTTAATTTTGCAGTCATTTGTGGCTAGTATCACGTGGGAGATTTGGAAATGCATGTTCTTTTTTGTGTCGCTCTCATTTGTTGTTACAAGATGTCTTCTATTTTGATAGATCAGATGTTATAGATGATGTGATTCTTATCATTTCCATATTTGATTATATATAAGCTCATCAATTTGTGATAACGCCATTAATTATGTTCTTCCTTTGGCATGATCTTGTTTTTTTTTGCCAGTCGCTATCAACGAGCATCGAAGGAGGAACAAAATGGTTGGTCAACAAATTCAAAGGTTATATATCTTGACATTCATTTTTTTCCATTATATATTGATGAACCACACATATTACAAGAAAAAAAAATATGTTACATATAATAACACGTACGTACGGATATATATACAGGAACAATGCAGAAGCCGTTGCCTGAGTTGCTAAAAGAATATGATTTGCCTGTTGGGATCTTCCCACGCGATGCTACAAACTACGAGTTCGATGAGCAGACAAAGAAACTGACGGTGATGATTCCATCAGTCTGTGAAGTTGGCTACAAAGACTCGTCTGTCTTGAAATTCACCACGACAGTAACAGGACGTCTCGAAAAAGGGAAGCTAGCTGATTTGGAAGGAATGAAGACAAAAGTGATGATATGGGTCAAAGTCACAAGCATCTCTGCAGATTCATCAAAGGTCTATTTCACTGCAGGTGTGAAGAAGAGCAGAAACCGAGATGCTTATGAGGTTCTTCGAGATGGTGTTCGCGCCGATAAATTTTAACTACTCGCCTCCGCCCAACTTTAAATCATTTTCCGGCCTAACTTTTGCGACTCCACTCAGTTATTTCCTTTTCAATTTTTTGTTTGTTTGTTTGTTCGAGTTTCAACGATATTTATAATCCTGAGTCAGACACTTTTCCAGCTGAAATGTACAAAACCATCATACTACTCTAGTTCCTTTTTGCATCCAAAAGCACTCTTCCCCTCAACGTTATAAATGCATCCTAACTCCTAGAGAATCCTATCAATGGCTCTCTCATATAGTCTCATCTCATGAGTAATGAGTTTGCCATAGATCCAAAAAAAAAAAAGAAAGCTTCTTCACTTTACAAAGCCACTGCAGATAGAAAGCCACGCCTCCCTATGGATGAACACGGCACCTTTTCCCACCCTTTGCCATCCTTAAAACACTCAACCTGTAGTAATCAAAAACACAGACCATCAAGATTTTTATTATAGTGTTAAATAATGATGATGAACTTTGTCTTTTCAAATTGACAAGTAACAATACAGTGTCTAAGATGTCTACTCCTTCCCCCTTGTATCCTCCGATCACATATATGCACTCCTTCACCACTGCCGCTGCTGAATATCCTCTTTCCTCCTTCATTGCTTCTCCCTCTATCCATGTCCCTCTCCGTGGCTCATATATCTCCACGCTCGATACCATCCTCGATCCATCATACCCACCTATCGCGTATCTGCATAACCAAAATACAATCTTTAATCATACCAGCACTGCTTTGTTATTTTTCATCCTCAACTACTTCAAGGTTTTACCCTTTGCATTTTCCCATAGTAATAATAATGGGTCAAAAAGTTAAAAAAAGAAACTCACATTGCACGACATTATCTAGTGAGTGAGTGTTGCAGGTTACACTTTTTATTTGATAAACTTCTCCATCATACAAAAACTTAGGTTACCCCTTTTTATAATCAGCAGAGCCTACTGTATATTGTTTTAACAGGTCATCTCATTTTCTTAAAAAATATCGATGGGCAGAGGAAACTTACAGTTTCTCGTTCAAAACAGCAAGAGAATGGCAGCCTCTTCTTGACTTCATTGATGCAATTCTCACCCACGAGTGCTCTCTAGGATCAAACCTTTCAGCTGTGCTGTTAGAATTAGAGAGAGTTTCCAATAATAAACTCGTTCTTGTTAGCTTCGAATTTTCAGTGTTAAGATTAGGGAGAAAAAAAAAAACAGAAGAAAAGGCCTTGTTAATGTTCTTACTTCAGGTACTCCTTCCCATCAAAACCACCGACAGCATATATTGAACCGTTATGCTCCGAGGCTGCAACTGCAAATCTCTGAGATCACAAAACAGTGATAACTGAGACTCATTACTTGAATGGTACAAGTCGGCGAAATAGAAACCCCCATAGATTATCTCATTGGGAATTCACGTCTTTAGATATGAGCTATTGTCAGAATTTTGCCCATTGAGTATCTAATTAAGACTTTTGGCTTTCACCATATGTCGTGCGGATAGAGAAGTACGTTTACCTTCTCCTCCATTGACCTTGTTCTGATCCACCTCCCTATATCTGGATCAAGCATCTCAACATCTGAAAAAACCACCTCAGCGTTCCCGCCTCCGATTGCAAATATTTTTCCATCCAATGTGGCTCCACCTAAATTTCCTTTTCGGTCGTTCAAGGGAGAGCACAAACTCCACCGGCCATCTGCCTCGTTATATGATTCAACTTCAACATAACAAAGAAGAGGCAAAACAGGAATCAAAGGTCAGCCTTTTTAATCTTAATTAGGGAGAAAAAACAAGCTAGGAATGGTAGACACTGCTTTAAATATCCGCACACCTAAAGTGAAGTGCGTGACATCAATACACCTCACTTCACAGTAATTTGCTCAAAAACTTTGGTTTAATTTTCTGAGAATCACAGTAATATGCTTTTGCTACCCATATTTCAGCTTTTGTATGGTTTATATATATGTGTTTTTAACAGACCTTAATGCATTACTAGTTAACACATTTTAGCAAAAAGTAAGAGAAAGATCTACCTGTGTTCGACCAGCCATGGCCACCTTCATCCCCTCCAAAGACGTATATTTTACCATCCAATTTTGCCACTGAAGCATTTGAACGAATACAGCTCAATGAACTATGAGCCTTTACAACATTCCTAGATGGAAAATATGATTGCACTGATAACAATCCTGATTCAGAGTAACCATCAAATCCGCCCAAAAGAAGAATTGCCTCGGTTGAATCTAAGTTTGAATCATCTGGTAAATGGATCTCTCTATCACTACCACCAGCTTTGGCGATTAAAGAAACTGATTTGGACTCGAGCATGTTGCAACGCTCTCTCAATCTATGGATTTCATTGTGTGCCTCACCCTGTAATACCAAAAAAAAAAGAGTCTCATTGTTTCTCCACCACCCAAATTTTGAGCTTACAGGTTCCATTCCAAAAAACAAGAGTAAATGGTAACAAGACTGAAAATAACAAAGCATAATTTCTGAGGACTGTCTACACGTCTAAACCCTGATTATGGTGCACAGACTATGATAGTTGTGTGGAATACACTTTTCTTTCAAGTTCAACTTGGGGACGTTTATCATAACCAACATTCACAAATGCAAACAGAAATCCAGTAGGACGGATAAAAATCCACACCACCTTGCGTAAACCAAAAATCTTACCAGTTTCTCTTCCAAGTAGCATATCTTGGTTGAATTTTCAATCCCGTATGCCCTGAGTTCCTTCACCTCATGCATCAGCTGCTGCAAAAGAGATTAATGCAATATGAGCCCATTGTTTTTGATACGCCCAGAATAAATGATAGTCTCGTGAGATGGAAATAAAGGCTTGATAAAATGTAGTTTCATGACTAAGAAGTTGACTTGGAGCAGTTTTTCTGGTTAACGTTTCCTCCCGTATTACAGCTAATTTAAGCATGTCTACACAGTTAATAATTGACAGCTTGACTGAGTATACCGAGGAAGGATGAACAGACGTGAGGTTTCGCTAGGCTTCTCAGGTGTTCGATTAAGAAATAAAGGGTTGACTCTAGCAGATAATATTTGTCAAGGCAGTAACACTTCAAGTATTATTATAACAGGAGACGTAGTGTGGATAAGTAGCAACCATATGTAGTAGATAGCAAAGTACCTGGATTACTGTATGTTGACGAGGAGATGATACCAGAGAACCGCCATCTCCTTTCCCGGCTGAACATGTTTCCTGGTCAAGTGTGTGTATGTCTGTCAAATTCTTGGAGGAGGAGGGAATGTTTGCTTGGTCAACGGTTTCCATCAGAGTATTGTCTGGATGCTCGGCATGAATAAGAGCGAGATCCTTGGGTTCCTCGAGAACACAATCCTTAATCATTTGTTGAGAGTTGTGGACGTCTGGGAGATATTCAGAGAGAAGAGGAGGAGCTGTGGAGTGAGAAATGAGTGACACCTCCACGGGTTCACTCTTGGAAATTCCAAGCTTAACCTCCTCATCCATGTTGTCTCTAATTTCAGGTGATGGAGGAAAGTGAAAAAGGTGTGTATTGTGGGAGGGTGGTTTAGGTTTCAAAGCAAAGGATGTGAGGAGACAAATCAACTTATTAGTCTGTAAATGATCAAGCTCGAACCAAAAATGGTGAGAAGAAGTGTAGTAATTATCTAGAATGGCAGGTTTGAATTTGTCTTCAGAAAGGGGTTGACAGTGTAAGCGAGGAGTGATTTGAACCTGTGAAGGAAAGGAAGTTCTGTGGGAACCATTAGAGGTCCAGGCATAAGGGTCAATATTGAGCTGACCAGGACCAGCAGCCTCAAAAATGCCATGAAGTTTACGATCAGAATAGTTGAAAAGAAACAAGGGGAGGGCAGTGTCAATCTTCTGCACGTATGAAAAGTGCTCAAAAGGTAGACCTGTTGATGAATTCAGTCAGTCAGTGAGGAAGAGGAATCAAATAGATAGAAAGAAAGAGTAAGAAAGCATTCTGACCAAACAAGTGTTTGGACAAGCATTCGTTGATGGTATGCTTGGTGCAGCCAAAAACGACGCCGCCTAGTTGAGTTTTGGTAAGGTTTCGGCATGAAAAGTTGCTGCTCCTCCACTGAGCAGCCATCCTTGAACCTGCAAACAGATGGTGTGCATCAATCAATCAATGCAATACATCTCAGTTGATGGAAGGACAAACAAAATGCAATCGGAGTTGGAACACACAAAAAGGCAAAAATCTATGTCCGTTTAAAGTGGTGACTTCCTATTGCGTTCAAAGGAAACCACAATCCCAAAAACCGGACACGTCACATAGTGGAGACAGACGAGCATTGACAATAATGGAAATCGGAGAAGAAAAACCCTAAGGCAAAAAGCAAAAACCTAAATGCCGCCGGAAACTGGAAAAAATGGGCAGTCTGAGTGTTGCGCCTTTACTTACTTACTTATTAAGTGCAGAGGCCGTGAGAAATCCAATGTCTCGTCTGGGAGAGTGCGCTAGAGACGGAGCCCCATTACTAAACCCCAAACCACGAAAAAGTGACTCACTGACTGAGACACAGACCTCAACTCTTAAGTTTATATATAAACCCTCATACTCTCTGTTTTTATTTTTTTTTCCAGCCAAAGAGTTAACTTTTAATCCATAGAAAAAAGCAACTTCGTTTAAAATTATTTTTCCATATCCAAAATGTATATTTATTTCTAATAATATTACTTATCTTACATGTAAATAAAAACACTTTTCAATATCATCGACCAAACCGACTCTGAGGAAAACTAAAGAAACATAAGCTTTCAAATTCATCTTCTTTTAACATGGGTAAATATGAACCGTGAAAGTAATTTTATTTCGCATGTTATATATTAAAATAAAAGTTCTAACTCTTTTAATGTGTGATATTTAAAATGAATCATCTATTAGAATTTATCATTACTTTATTCAATCACTAATAATATTTATTGGATTCATTAATAACATTTATTGGACTTACCAATTTTTTTTATTGGGCTAATAATAGTTAGATGATCCATAGGATTTATAGATAGTACAATAAATGCATGTTTAAATTAAATTTATATAATTTTATGTTGTAACAATATAAGTTAATTATTTATATATTTTCCGCTGTTAACTTTAAAAATTATATAGTTTGTTTTCAAAAATGACAAAATTATCATTTTCTAACAATAATTAATCTGTACTATTTTAAACCAATGAAAACAATTTTAAAATTATACTAGATTTTGACCCGCGCAACCGCGCGGGTGTTTGTTTTCGTTTATAGTTAGTTATATAAACATTTTGTTTTCACTTGTAAATTGGTATATACTATAGTAATCACATATTTACGATATGTATAGTAAATGTTTTTCAAACATAATAATATAATATAATACGTGTTTTAATCAAATAGATTGTTTCAAATTTTCTATATTATATTGTTTGTTAGATTAGTAATTCATTTAGATAAATTAATATAAATAGAGTTTGATTAAATATTATTATACTTTAATTTGCAAAGATAATATAAACTTCGAATTTTTTTTTGCTAAAAACTAAACTTATAGCTTCATAAATTAATATTATAAAGAATTTTATTAAAAGAATTTTTAAACAATTTATATTTTTAAACAATATAATTTTTAAAATTTACATCGAAATAAATTTATCTAGTATATATAGCGTGTAAATTTTGTTAGAGTATATAAATATTCCATATTACTAATCTGTGATTTTTGTTAATATATTGTAGATGAATTTAACTATTATTGACATATTTCCTTATAAATAATAGAAGATTCCTAAACTTATATCTATTGACATATTTTGCGTGACTAAGTTGGAAGGTGTAGGGTAATTTACCAAAACCAAATCGTTAAGCGTATCTTTGTTTTTATATATATCATTTTCCATAAGATATAATAATGATATGATTATTAGAGAATTAATGTAACATAACTTTCTAGTAATAGTCCATTTTTAAAAAAATCACACATGAAATCAAGTCATGACTTCTGTTTTAATATATAAGATAGTTTACTTTAAAAATAGCAGAAATTAATTGTTTAATTAATTACTCCATAATATGAAGCTAACAATTTTATTAATCTTTATAAATTTGAAAAATGTTACAATATCTTTAGAGATAGACAATAGAACAATATTTTATCAATCTTTACATATATTTTAGAGTTCAATAATGAAATAATAATCTAAATATATATATATATATATATATATATATAAGAAGATACTAATACATGTGAAAGTTTGAAATAATCTATTTGATGAAAACTAATATATGGTAAAATTGTTATCTTTTAAAAAATCAATATACACACCTCATATAATATATACTAATTTAGAAGTAAAAATAAGATGTTTATATAAAAATAAATAAAAATAAATACCCGCACGGTTGCGCGGATTGAGATCTAGTAGTCGTTTAAAACAGAATGTTCGTAATTTTATCCAAAGATCCAAAATCTTAGTGAGTTCGTAATTTTATCCAAAGATCCAAAATCTTAGTGATTGACCTACTTCCAAGATATATGATGTGTTAGTACTTTGAGAGTGTCTTTTGATTTATCTTATTCTTAGTATTCAAATATGTGTGTCGACTCCCTTAATAAAAAAATTATAGTATGAAGAACTTTGTTTTCTCACTTAAATCACATTTGACCGATGACTCTAACCCAAAATTCTAAATCCTATTGGATTAGAACATATGATCCAAACTTGATTTGATATTATGGTGGTAGTTAACATAAAAAATGAAACAAATCGAAAATAGATGCATTCTTTCTATGTACTTATATGTATACATGTTAGGAGGGTGGAGAAGTAAAAATTATCAGCAAACTTCAAACAAAAAAAATGCAACTTAGGTTCTGTACATGTAAGATCGGCTGCGGATCATTTATTCGGTTCAGGTTATGTTCAGATATCAGGTTACGAATTTTATGTCCAGCGCCACCAACAACTATTTCGTATGCCTAACCCTGTAGCCTACTAAAACTTTCATGAAAACATGATTCATTATTATCTAAAAATCACACCCTTTTAAACTTAAAACTAGGTGTTTTGCCCGCACTTGCGGGCATAATTCCCTTATGAATATTTATTAGTTGATGTTTCATTAATTTATTACTTATGTTTTCAAAACATAAAAATAAAACATCAAATAATTATAAATGACAAAACTCAAACATTAGGAATATTTAAAAGAATATATTTCTATAATTATTTTTCTTGATTTATATTTAATTATAGTATTTATAAAAATATTATTACTTAATTTATATTTAATTATAATTTTTTATATCTTAATTTTAAATTTTTATAATAGAAAAACATATTTTCAAGATAAAAATATAATGCATAAGTTACTTATTTTCTAAAAAGAAAATATGATAAATTTGTTTTAATTATATAATATTATAGAAATGATGACATATAATATAATTACTTAAAATCATGGAGAACTTAACAAATCAGCAAATTCACTTCTTAAATAATTTTGCTTGAGTAATGACTTTTATTTAATTAATAATAGATAATTGTTCTATTTTAATTTTAGATTATATAATATAAAAATATATTTTCAAGATGAGAACATAATACATAAGAATTACCTTATTTTATAAAAGTATAATATTATTAGTGTAAATTTATTTTAATTATAGAATAACTACAACTTTTTAAATTTTAATTTTAAATTTCTAATAGAAAAATATATTTTCAAGACAACAACATAATACATAAGNATTTTAATTTTAGATTATATAATATAAAAATATATTTTCAAGATGAGAACATAATACATAAGAATTACCTTATTTTATAAAAGTATAATATTATTAGTGTAAATTTATTTTAATTATAGAATAACTACAACTTTTTAAATTTTAATTTTAAATTTCTAATAGAAAAATATATTTTCAAGACAACAACATAATACATAAGTACTGTCTTATTTTCTAAAAGTCTGATGTTATTAATATAAATTTTTAAAATATAAAATAAATTATATAAAAAATTATAGAAATTATGGTAATTATCAAATTTACTTTAAATCGTGGAAAATATGACAAATCATCAAACATTAAATTCACTTCTTAAATAATAGTATAGATTTTTTACATGTTAATTTTAAATTTTATAATAAAAATATATATTTTCAAGATAACAGCATAATACATAAGAATTGACTTATTTTATAAAATATCATACTATTAGTATAAATTAGTTTTAATTATATAATCAATAATAAACAAAATGATGGAAAATATGATAAATGATAAAAATTACCTAGGATCATGGAGAACTTGACAAATAAAAAAAAAATTCAAATAATTGTTTGATGATTTCAATTTAACTATTAATAATATAATTTTTATATCTTAATTTTGAGTTTTATAATAGGTAAATACATTTTTAACATAACAACATAATACATAAGAATTATGTTATTTTAGAAAAATATAAAATTATTAATATAAATTTGTTGTAGTTTTATAATAAATATAATAATTTTTATATATTAATTTAAAATTTAAGTTTTATATATAAAAATATACTTCAAGATAACAACATAAATCACAAGAATTATCTTATTTTCTAAAAATATGATATATTCATATAAATTTGTTTTATTTATAAATAAATTATATATAATTATTAAAAATATAAAAAATAAACAAAATTACCTAAACTTATGGAGAACATGACAACTAAGAAAATTTACTTCTTAAATAATAGTATAGATAAATCACAAGAATTATCTTATTTTCTAAAAATAGTATATATTCATATAAATTTGTTTTATTTATAAATAAATTATATCTAAATATTAAAAATATAATAAATAAACAAAATTAGCTAAACTTATGGAGAATATGACAACTAAGCAAATTTACTTCTTAAATAATAGTATAGATATGACTCCATTGTAGTCTACTTGTACTTATTTTTAAGTTCCTTCACTAAACAAACAGAAAACAGAAAATTATTTTATACACAAATAAAAGCTTCATGTTGAGTAGCATCGACAACACACACTCAACAGGTTCAAACGTTTTGTAAATTTTACCCAAAACAATTAATAAGTGAAAACAATGATCCTACTATGAAACCCATGCCTCAGTGGCCTCCATAACACTCGTTATTGCTCTTACTTGATCTCCAAGAAATAGTCGATACCGCTCGGCTCATGTTTCCTTCTCTTGGGTATGGCCGGTGGTTCAGGTAAAGCACCACCACGGCGCAGTCATCAGCTTTAGAGGCTGGAAACTTCGTTTTCCATGTTCGAGCGGCTCTCTGAACCAGCATCTCTGCTGCCATTGACCGGTCCTTACATGCACCTACAATCTTCACCACTTCTTCGTTTGACAACACATCCCAAATCTGTTCATCAAACACACACACACACACATATATATATATATATATCCTTTTTAAGAGATTATGTTTCCATTAAGAGACTGAAAACTCGCACAAGTTGTTATACCCCATCGGTGGCTAGAACCACAAACTCGTCTTCTCTACTGACTCTTCTGCAAAAGACCTCAGGGATGCATAGAAGTCCATAGTCTTTGAGGCAGAAATCACCAAAAGCCCTAGACATTGCAAGTCCAGGGCAATCATCATCAGGCATCCACACTCTATACACATCAGGTTCCTCTTCCATAGCAAACACCCTTCCTTTGCATGATACTATTCTCTCTGCTTCGCCTGTTTAAAAAAAAAAATTATAGTAATGCAGAAACATAAAAGCAAGGCAAACTTCAAAGTTTAATACGTCTATTCTATATGAGGTTTAGTCTGAAAAAATAAGAGGAGTGCTCAAGAAGGAGAAGATACTAACGTTGAACACAGGGTTTCAGATCAACAGTGAGTTGGACAGCTTTGAGACTACTGTTCTTTCCACCACGGGTGCCAAGAACGGCTCGTGAATCTCCCAGGTTTGCGATCACCAAGCAGTCGCCCTGCAAATATTTTTGAAGAAAAACATATTTGAAGTGAACTGTCTCGAGACTGAAAAGAACCCATTCAGCTCAAGAGACTTGATGATATTTACTTGTTTAAGGACGGTTACAGCAGTTGTGCCGCTGCAAAAACTATCATAAGGAGAGTCAAGACCAAGTTCGCTGTCTATTCGCTTAAAGAATGTAACCAGAACTTCCTCGAGTTCACGGAAGAGTCCCTCCTGACTCTGTGAACTAATATCATTCTCTATGTTTTCATTGCCGCCAGATTTTGAAGATTTGATTCTCGAATGGACCCTTGAAGGTAGACTGTCACATACGTGACGAGAGATCTTGTGACCCATGGGGCCGTGACCGTCAAATACACCGCAAAAGATCATATCTTCCTCCCCACCAAAGTTCTGAAACAAAAAGTTGTTACGATGCAAAAAATGATTAATCATTGCCTGAAGGGAGACGGCTTCAAAAATGTAAAATTCCACGTAATAGCAGAAAACAAAGCAGGTAATGTTAGCGCCTGAAACTGAAATAAGAAAAACTTAAGAAACAAGTGAAATGACCCAACAGGAAAATTAAAACTCTTACCTCCCAGACTGTCATGGCGTCTTGATTGATCCCCTTTTTCCCTTGTTTGATTGCCATGGAAACATGTTTAGAAGATCCGCGAGACCTTATAATGGCACCATCATTTGTGTCTCTAACCACAGCCTCCGTATCACTATGATCATTACTATCATCCGCGCCGTTCTCCACAGTTATCCCTGTGCCCTTGCTACAACAGACCCCCATTACCAAGCAAGAAACAAAAACAGGGCAAATCCAAACAAGAAAATTTACAAAGATTTTATTTTTGGAAGAAATATGGCCAAAACGTCTAGAAATACAGTCCGAGGAGTCTGCTTAGGTCATGTGGAAGAAGAGAGGAGAGCAGGGTCGAAGAATTGAACAGATGCAGATAAATAATTTTTTCATGGGGACGCCTTGCTATGGAAACAAGTCAAAGGACGACGACAGGGGGAAAGGAGAAGAGACGAGCATGAAAGAAAACTTATGAGAAGAATGACTGCATTGATACAGAATGGCATTTGTCTTTTTGTTGAAAGCTTAAATCGAAAAAATGTAATCAAAGGGGGTTTCTCAGATGAACAATAACAACAACAAAAACTGTAAAGAGAGGGAGACAAAGATATGTTTATTATTTTCTTTCTCCATCTAAAAATAGATGGAAATCATCCAAAATTGGATATTAAAAAAAATACCTGGCTCGGTAGAGTTTCCTCCTTTAGCTGTTAATTTACAATCCACACAACGTAATAAATCCAACTTCTCCTTCACCAAATCATTTCCTCAGTTTTGATAACCAACACCAACGAACATGTAAAATAAGGATAATACCAAAACAAAAAAAAAATATTAACAGAGTTAACTGTTTCTTGTTAATCTTCATACCAAGCACACAATACCGAATTAAGGTTGTGTTATGGGTTTGTAAGCACGATTACAATTCCGGTTAACAACGTAGACGAACCATAAGTACTCTTCATAGAAGATAAAATTACAAAAGGGAAACGGGAGAGATGAACATACCATGACGATTCAAGGCGGTGGCATGGCTCCGTTTACAGCCTTGACTCTGTTGAAACCATTTTTTCCTGAGTAGAGTAACTAAAAAGAGGCAAAAAGCCCTGAAACTAGACGCAGCAAATCTTGTCTTCTTTCGTGTTTGGAAAGCAAAAGTCTCTATAAAACTAAGATCACATCATAATATATGAAGTTTACAAAAGTGAGAGAGACTCAAATTTCCATTTCAAACTAAACTTCTTACAGTAAAGGGAATTTCAGAACAGACAAGACAAGCGTGTGTGTGTGTGTTTTCTTTTCGTTTTTAAATAGAAATCCTACAATATATCCTTGTTTATATCCTAGAGGAAGAAGAAGAAAGTACATTGATAGAATTGGCAAAACTAAATCCACCCATGTCATTACCACCATTGATGGACAAGCACACCACTTTGTCTGAGCGAAGTGAAGAGCTGTAAGCATTGGTTATAAGTTTTGTTGTACTTTAGGCTCCTTTGGCCAGGACAACATCTCTGCCACCTGTTGTAATGGCATTCAAGGAACAACTCATCAATTAGACAAATGGCTCCGGTCTTGATTAGCCTGGGGATCAGATCAAATTCGGTTCCTTCAACATCCATCTTCATCACAACGAAGTCCCTCTCTCTCACACTCTTGTTCAACCAGTCAGCAAAATCGAACCCTTGAATCAGATTCACCTCTCCAGCTAAGCTCGAGGAAGATTTTGAAACTGGCTGGATTCTGCCCATCCCCCTGCTGCCCATTGCTTTGGCTTCAACTTCCTTGCCCGGATCGTGATTGATCTCAAAGGACAAAGTCTCATTCCTGACCCAAGCTGCAAATGGCAATAGCTGCACCTTCTTCTTGATCTTATACTCGTGGTGAAAGGCCTTGTCAGCCTCGATGGCGAAAACATCAAACGTTTGGTTCTGCTTGGGGTACAGTTTCTTGAACCAGCTCCCGATACTTGAACCGTAACTTCGAGCACCAACATCAACGTATACGTATCTACTCTTGAAACGTATGTCTACCATGGAAGGGATATATTTAACATTCTGAATGTTCCTCTTGAGAGTGATCCATGGCTTAAGAGGCTCCTCTTGAATGAGAGGCTCAGCATCCCGAATCAAGTCTCTCTTGTAACCAGGGATCCAGCACTTGCCATCACCAGCACCACCACCAGAATTCTTCATCGTCTGGTGTGCAACCTTCTGAATAACAAACTCTCTGATATGAGGCATGGAGGAGGAATCAAAGCCGCCGCCGTCTAAATCACGCATCTTAACCAAACTGCAAGAATTAAACAAATCAAGGAATGAATTGAAACTGTAGGTATCTGTGGCAGCAACATGAACCACCGCAAAGCCCTGGGGTTTCAGGGTCCGAGTGATCTCCTCGGCAAACTCCAACTGCTTCAACGACTTCCCAAGGCGGCCACCACCGGAGAAGATGAAATCGAAAGTGTTGTCCTGGAAAGGTATAGCGTGTCCTTGGCCTCTAACAACCAACGGCATGTAAGCTTTCTTAGAGATGCCGATGGAATTTTTGACACCAATCTCTCTAAGGGAGAAGACCTCTTGCCCCAAAGCCGTTGTTTCTACACACAGCGTCTTCGATTCCGGGGAGAGGTAACCCTCGGAGATAAGATCGTGGAAGATGGAGGAGTAGAACTGAACGGATTTGATCCAATGGAGATCATCGGCTGGGGAGATGACGAGGTTGAGATTGTTAGGGAGAGAGAAGAAGCAGAAGTCGCCCCGATTGCAGGATTCACCAGTGATGGTGACCACGTAAGCAAAACGAACAAGGATGATAACAAGGCCCAAGAGAAGCACGCGAACCATTGTTTTCCGCAAGAAGCTTGGAGGACTCTCCATACTCTCTATTAAATTAAAACTACTTTACAAATACAAAGAGAAAGAGAAAGAATAGCTCCCCTCTCCTTTTGTTATTTCTTATTTGGAAACCAAAAAAATTTAAAAAATAAAAAAGGGAAAACCTAAAACTGAGGAAGCGGAACAAGAAAGACTAACGAGAGGAGAAACGAGCAGAGGTGTGATTAGCTCCGATTAGGCTGCTCAAAACACTTGACAAATTACAGATCCGAGGAGGGAACCCGCAAAAGAAGCGCATACTTCTTTAAAAAGTTTCTGATCACTACGGTGGGTGTTTCTTTTTTTGGACTAGACGGCGGAGGAAATATATATAGAGAGAGAGACATGGAAGAATGTAGAGTGAGAAGAGCAAATGTAGAAGAAGACGAACCAGAGAGGAAAAGGAATCGGAAGGAGACAGACAGAAGATTAAATTAAATAAAAAAAGCGAGCGCGTTTCTCTCTAAACGAGGGATGAAACGGCATTTCTATCTCTAAATTGCAATGATTAGTGTGAAAAATGGCAGCTTTACTCGTATTGTCCCAATCCTTTTTTTTTAACTCTGAAAATGTATTGCATTAAAGAAACAAAGGTGTCGTACACAATCAAAACCAAAGAAACAAAAACAAAGATAGAAACATAAACAGAGCCTAAAGCTCATCCATGTTGATAGATCCCAAAACCTTACCAGATCTATACTTTATGCAACCACAAACACAACGCTTTCTTTAGACCATGGTCTTCTCCACATAGACCGCATTCCTTAACCATATCAAATTACAATATGACGGGACTGAAACAAAAACGGTGAGTTATACAAACTTCCAGAAACAAAGCCAGCGAATAAAGAAACATTCCTGGAGACAAAAGCCGGCGAGTATACAAACCCCCGGAGATAAAGCCAGCGGATAAAGAAACATCCCTGGAGACAGAAGCCGGCGATTATACAAACTCCCGGAACACAAAGTAGACTCTTGAACTCTGATCTATGAAAACGCCATCTAAGACCTCCAATTCTTACACACGGACACTCGCATCCCAAACTCAGCCATCTACCGACTGAAGAATGGCCACCTCCTCGCAAGAGAAAAACTGAAGGACGGAACCACTGCGACGCTAGTAACCCCACCAAAAAGACACAACTTCTAAGAAGAGAAAGTAGATGCACCCGCAACAAGACCACATCCAGAAGACGACCCACAAACCAGACTTAAACTAACTACTATCATAGCGACTCATTGCTTTCACGGACCGAAAAGAACAGGTACGAGGATGAATGACAACATCGATAACCCACAGAGACATACCTGAGTAAAGATTTAACAAATCCGATGGAAGAATTAGCAGTCCACATTAGAGCCGGCTTATAGTCTTTCACCGCACACCAGAAAAAGATCCGGATCTGTTCAAACCAACAAGAAATCACTGGAATACAATAAAATCAACCACCTCTCACCATTCCAAAACCATCGAAAGTCTCAGATCTAAAAGATAAACCTACTACAAGACATTATCTACCCTCTCACGACATCGACGAGATTCGCCGAAAGTCGGAGAGGGCAGAACGAAAATCACTCTTTTCTCTCTTAGACGGCTGCTAGGGTTTTTTGATGATATTGTCCCAATCCTTTCATTGATTTTTTTTTTAAAAAATTACAATTATATGGAATATTATTACTCCTCACAGCAAAAAAAATCTTGGACAAATTAAAAGCTAAATTATGGTGGATCCAGTGAAGCTTAAGCATCACTCGACTCATCAATCACTCATGAATGATTGGTTGTGCATTATACCAGTTCTCTTAATAATAATACGATAACTGAAAGAGGGGAAAGACGCATGTAGCTGAATTATTGTTTACACCGAGTAGCTGCTCGCTTTCCATGTTTGATATTGTGATGTATAGCCAGGCTGGAATTGAGTGTAACCATTACTGGGCCCGGCCCCCACAGAGTCACGGCCTTTCAGCACAACGCCCTTGCCAAAATGAAAAGACGCAAACGCGAAAAAAGAAAAGGGCCGCGGAGGCAGGCAAGTTGATGAAGAGCCATTAAATTACACAACTCATCATTACTATACAGAAAAAGTAAAAAAAAAGGAAAGAGAGGCATCTCTTGTTTGTGTACGTCCGTTAACTTCGGCGGCATCTACACAAAAAGGAAAATACCTTCCATCATCACTCACAGTGTCACTCAAAGTCAAGCTCTTCAAGTAGCCCATCAACCAAAAGGCTTCTCTGGCAAAAGACTCCATCTTCAAAGAGACTACCAAGGGACGTGAACTGTGACAAAAAAAAAAACAAGGAACGTGAACTTGCGACATTTTCTCGTTCAAAACATCTATTTTTAAAAAGTATTGATTTTCACAATACTGTATGTACACAGTTTAATGAGCCCATGGGCCTCTCATCTTAGATTAGCAAGGGTCTTCCCATTTTAATTTGTGGGAGGGAAATTAGTTTACTACGCACACTACATCCGCGTGAGGAACACGATCCAATGGCTGCGACCGACACCTTCATATGAACTTCTTTTCTTCTTTTTGTCTCTTTATGATTAAGGCCATCAGCATCAAAGAACTGCTTTGGGGTTCAGAAGTTTTGATTTTTTTATTATTTTTCTTTTTCGTTTAACTTTTTTTTTTCTAAAAAATAAAAAAATAAATAAATAAATCAACAGCGGACCGCCACATGGCATGGGGCCCGCAAAAAAGTTGTGAAACGGATTCATTAGAGAGAGGCGAAACAGCACGAGTTCATTACTGTTGGGTTTTTTAATATTTTTTTCTCCTTGAATTGCGTGTGAACCTGTGTGTTGAACCTTTGATGCTCATGCTCTAACTCGTTCAATATTAGATTCTTCTCAGCATTTAAATTTATTGAATATATCTAAGTAACTTGGATCATTTATAACATCATGGTTTTTAACACTGGAGCTTATCTGAACATTAGTAGATATATACACAGCCGGTTATGGGCATTGTTGTAGAATACGGCCAATGTGATTCGAAAGAATTACATTAAAAATAAAAACAAAAAGGCACCGAATCACATTGCATGTGGTAGGCTTTGTTTGGAAGACGGCTTAAATTTAACACAAAAAACTGCCAAACTCATAATTACACGGAATCATGTAAAGATTACACTTAACAAAGCAAAATATCATCAAAGTTTCAATCAATGCATTAAACTGACCCAATGAAATGCGACTTTTATAGTCTTTTGATCAGTTACGTAACTGTTCATTCTCTTAATAAACAAAATATTACTTAACGAAATGAAAAAAGCATGAGACTATTTGAAGCTTTATCTAATATTATTACCGGCATGGTAGATTAAATATAATAACCCGATGGATTACAAAACATGTTAGGAAACACATTTATATATTTCTTGAAAAAAAATCCAAGTTTTATTTTCCAGATGTTTAATGTGGAATTTACCAGATGAGACATCTACGAAATCCGAAGCAAGAGGTGGATTGTGATCTGCGTATGGTGAGGTGGTGATCAATAGAAGAGTCGAAGGATGAAAATCTCTTTATGACCTTCCCTTTTGTCTGAAACTTGAACAGATGGTACTCATTCTCATCGATCAGCACTCTCTCCGACACAGACAGTGACGAGGCGGACAGTTTCTTGACCTTATTCTTATGACCACCTGATGATGACCAGAAGAGCCTTGTGGGGATTAGTGCGAGGATTTTCTTGATGGGTTTTTTTGAACTACGGCGGATTTGGTCGCCTGAGAAGGAAAAATGAGACGGCGGAGGGGTGAGAGGAAGTGGCGGAGGCAGCTCGGAGGAGGGGTGTTTGGGAGTACCAGGATGAGATTCCCATTCGAAAGGAATGGAACCGGCAGCTCCATCGTAGTAATATATTCTAAAGGAAGGACAAGCTGCTGCCGGCGAGGAGAAGCGTTGTTTGGTCGACTGTATCTTGTGCGAGAAGGTATCGGTGTTTTGCTTTCTCAGTGACGCAGGATGCTCAGATCCGCCGTTTGTCATTATTGTCTTGGGAGAGAGAGAGAGAGAGAGATAAGGCTTTGTGCTTATGAGACATATGGTACTAGTATATATGGTGCCTGGTGTCATTGGTACGTTTCTTTTTTTTTTTAACTTTTGGACTTGGGTGTGTTACGTGTGTAAAAGTATTATGTGAAACAAAACTAACTCTGAAAATGAAATACTACTAGTTTATACTATGTGACAATGCTAGTTTATATGTGACGCTGGTTATGTAAATGCATACATCTTTATTAATGTCACAGAGTAAGCGCTCCCGCCAGAAACGATGTAACACGCGTGTGTTTTTAGTTGTTGCACAGTTTACTCCAAAAGTCCAAGATTAGTTCGTGTTTTCAATTCAACATATATTAAAGATCAATGGGAAAAATAAACAAGTCACTAATCAGTGAATGGGTTTTGCGTTTTCAATTAGGAATTATAAAAGGGGCAGATTTAAGTTTAACCGGACGAACTCGTTGATCAACTATACTAATATTCTCTTAGTTTCTCTTAATTGAATACTTGGGATACTATATCCATATGATATGTAAGATATTAACTTTCAAATAATGTTGATACCCAAACCAACCAAATAACATACGTAAAAGGGTAAATATTCATAATGAAAGTAAATATTGTATCACAGAACTATTCTTTTACGGACTGAAAAATGGTTTAGTTCATTGAGTGAACATATTTGTACTTGAGAATTCACAGTTTTGTGTCTTAAAATTTGATGATCCATTGTAATTCACTTGTACATTTATCTTTGTAAGTCAAGATAACTGTAAGCCCTTTATGATGAAGAAAAACTCAAGATAACTGTATCGCATGTAGGTACGATTGGTCCATTTAAAACCTAAATCGGGGATAGATAAAGATTAGTTACACACAAACAAGCGGCCCACAGGTTGAAATTATAAGAAATATAAAAAAAAACATAAAAATTGTGGATGGTTGGTTATTGGAGAGAGGCATTTATGAGTAGGGCCAGAGATGAAAACAATGTGAATTGAATAGTTGGGGTTTTGTAATTAAATTGGAAAGCAGTAAGCGATGATCCATATTCCATGCACCAAACGTGTGCTCCACATACCACCACCGGGCATTGCTTTCCTTAATACTACTGATTGTCCCGATGGTCCATTCCCACTGCATTAATGTATTTCAGTGGCATACATACTCATGCCCATATAATTGTGAAAACAAAATACTTAGTTGGCTTCAACATCTAAATATCATAAGAGCAACATCATTATACGTACTAATCTTGTGAAGGAAATATAGAGGTAGATTGAATACGTGAAACCCTTTTAAGAAAAAAGTCATCGTTAGGGGATCCAGCAAACAAAACGGACGGGAACTCAACAAGGTATTGGAAGCAAGCCCCACGAGAGAGAGAGAGATTATTGTTACATCGAGAGACTAAGCAACATAGCATGCAGAGGAAGAAATATAATTAGTGTAGATGGAAAGTATATATGGGTAGCAGTTAAAGACGTGACATTTGAAAGATCCAAAAAACCAATGATGTTTGTGTGTTAGACTGTATAGACGATAGATACGAAGAATATGAGTGGTATGAAAAAACTGAAAAGTTGAAAGTATGTATAGGTAACCTATTAAGGTAAGGTGGTTCACGCTAAGCAAAATGAATCTGGTAAAAGGAAGAAATGTCTGATTTAAAATGGTCTTACCGAAAACAAAAACCAACAAAATGAGTATGGGCCAAGAAACAAAACAAATGTTGAATGAGGCCATGATAAGTTTTAATAAAATATATGAAAGTGAGTTGATGAAATCCACTCATTCTTGGAAGTTGGAATAAAAACTATACACAAATTAACATGAGTAAAAGTGAACAATTACAGCTGCCTGCGGAAACGTAAAGAAAAAAATAAACCGAGTTTTGTTTCTAAGGGCAAAGACGTCGTCGTCCTGTACATAAAATAATAAAGAGAGGAGGGAGGGGAGAGGGAATAAAGGAAGAAAAAAAGTCGAATCGAATCAAAAGAGGAAGAGGAGGCATTGGCGAACCTACCTTGCCCAAGAAGGTGGCAAGTGCCCCCCAAAAAAAATCAAATTTTTTTAAATATGCCTAAATTTGAATTACTCATTTTATTAAATAACATTTTCAAGCTATATTTTAAATTTTATATAGGATTTGCCCCCACTAAAATACAATTCTACATTCGCCACTGAGAGGAGGAGGAGGAGATCTGTGGCCGTCCGCCGTGTAAGCTTATTTATCTGATAGAGAAGATTTTGATTCTGATTGCTCTCCTCGTTTGCATCAAAGTTGTTTTGTATTGGATCCGATCCTCTCTTTTTGCTTTGAAATCCCCATTTATTGTATTGACTTTTTTTTTTTTTTCTGAAAATGAAGATAAGATAGTTTCAGGCACTAATTATGGAATATGGAGTCTTCTTCTTCTTCCTCTTCTTCTTGGGGCTGACCTGCGATGCTTCAAACCCTATTCTTCTCCAACCATCCGGTAACATCTACCCTTTCTTTCTTTCTTTCAGAATCTCTATACTCATTCTCTAACTTAAGACTTCTTTGATGCATGCAATATTCAATCAGTTGATGATAATAACCAAGTCTGTGAGTTGTGTGATAAGTATCTTACCCTCGCCATTGAGTACCTCCAAAATGACGACAATCAGAATGCACTCGTTGAGGCCCTCCACGTGACCTGCTCCCAGATTCCTCCTTTGCAAAAACAGGTCCCTTCCATTTCTCTTTAACTTACGCTTATTATTTATCTCTCAACCCTCTGCTTGCTTGCAGTGTCTTTCCATGGTAGATCATTATACCCAACTTTTCTTCACTCGAGTCTCCCTTCTCAAGCCCCACCACATCTGCAAAACCCTTGCCCTCTGTCAACCACCCCTTGCTAATGCTTCCCAAGGCAACTGTCAGGCTTGCCGCGATACTGTCTCTCTACTTGTCACCAAACTCAAGGATCCTCAGACTAAGGTCTCCTAGCTCTCCTTTCCATCTATTATATATATCTTTACTCATCTCAACAGTATTCTATTTCCATGTGCAGCTCAAGATAATTCGCTTGCTTCTCAAGGAATGCAAGTCCCTCAACAATTACCAGGACAAGGTACTCCTCCTACTTAACCCTAATGAAACTTTATTTTTATGGAATCAGATGATGATGCTTTCCGTGATTAGTGCAAGAAGATGGTATTCGAGTACGGCCCACTGATGCTTGCCGATTTGGAAAAATTTCTTGAAAAGAAAGATGTCTGTTCTATCCTTGGCGTCTGTCCACCTCCACCCACCAATAGTTTCTATGTTGTTCCTGCCCTGGCAGATTCCTAAATTTCACCACCCACTATCCATTGGGTGTTCACTATCCATTGATGGGCTTCTGTGGTCCAGCCTCTTAATGGGCATTGTTTGGTGTTCATTCCCGCATTGTTTGATTTACGTAATGCTTTCTGTGAAGCCTAAAGTAAAGTAGGCTTGGTTGGCTTTTGTTTTTCTTTTCTTTATTTAAAGTTTTTGCGTTGATTTGTTTTAAAAAGAAAGGTATTTATAATATCCTTATCTACGTTACAAACATAATATGTTCATTTCATTGTGAGAGAAAAAGGAATCAAGAGTAGATTTTTGCTGAGTTCCGAAGTTTGAACCTAATTCAACCATCAGCTATGTAAGAAACTTTATCCAAAGTGTCTTTTTGGAGACAAAGCTAGAACTTGAGATTCATCTAGTCTCTTCTGTAAGTTTTGTTGGGTTTAAAGCTAATTATGCTAATATTAACATCATATTAAGTTAGAAAAGACTTTGTATTCTTAGTGTTGTCTACGATTTTGGGTGTCTATGATTTTGGAGTTCCTCACCTAAAGTTTCTGTCAATCAACATTTCAACAGCTTCTTATGAGTGTATCAATGTTGTTTTTGACTATCAATTATTCTTTCAAACAATCTCCATGGAAATAAAAGTATAGTTTTCTGTTGGGTTTCTTCATTTCGCTGAGTATAACTCGTCGTGAGATGATTTTATTTTTATTTATTTGGTAATGTTTTTTTAGTTTTGTTCTACCGTCAAATTTGGCTCCAAAATCTTTTTCTTCAGTTGTAAATGTTGCTCATTTAACCTTTTATAATATAAATTGTTTTTTAAGAAAAAGAGTACATATTTTTTTTGATCAAGGAATCAAGAGTATATAAATAGTATGTGATGGCTGGTGCTTCTTATTGGCCGATTAGAAAACAACGATTAGATGGGAAAAGCTCAGTGAATTCACGGGCTCCAGCCGGCCATCCTCGAATATAGGCCATTCATTTTGTTTTTCCTTATTCCTTTCGCCCAATATTAATAGTCAACTCAAAATCTTTAACCGCCTGATTTCTGTCTATTTTACTAAGAGCATGTTTATTGGTATAAGTCTTAGGTGAGTTCTTAGTTAAATAAAAAAACATAAAAGAAGAGAGGAAAGAAAGAGAGAAAGTGAGAAAAAAGAAGAAACAAAACAGCAACCACACATCTCTCCGGTACTCAACAAATATGTAACACGTGGTGGAAGAAACGTATGTTGCTTCTCTTAAATAAGGTACATCTCTTGTGTTTTCTTCTTTTTTTCTTTTATTTTTAATTATAATTATCCTAAGATACTTAGTTAAGAGACATGGATAAATATGCTCTAATCCAGTTCTTCTTTTCGGGTCTGAGGGAGGATTTATTATCCACTATTTGGGTTCGTTCTGAGATCCACTAAAAAAAATAAGATATTCAAGATATCTTAATTCAGATGTAAATAGTAAATTCTCAAATCCTTCTAAACCGAATCTAAATTTAGATATTTTAATTTTTAAATGCGGATCTCGATCCGTATTTTTAAAATACATTAAGTTTTAATTTTATTATTTATATTTGATATAATAATATTTATACATAAAGTTAGTCTTATAATAATACATTTTAGTTTTAATAATATTATATATCATATATATATGCATAAATTTTGTATAAATATTTAATTCATGTACTACTTTTAGAATTTGGTGTATTTTTAAAAATATTTTTTTATGAATCTAGATCTGAATTTTGATATCACAATATCTAGACATATATTTAAAATCTAGATATTTGAAATGCACAGGTCCGGATCTGGATATTAAAATCACAAATCCGATGAATCTGAATATTCTAAAATTTTTGGATATTTTGATTTTGATCTATCCTACCGTACTGGTTTCTACAAACTAACTAATTAAAATTAAAACCACATAAATCATTCAAATTATGTTTTGAGACTGAAAAATCTCTAATCATTTGATCACGACTAATTTATAGAAAGAAAAAAAATCTTTTCTTTACAAATAACTTACCTGCCGTATTAATGAACGGTCACATTGGATCCATCCATAGATGTAATTGTACTATCTTTCAGAATGTCAGTGACTGGTTATGTTTTTTTTTTTGTAAATTCTAGTGATAATTTCTATTTTAAATAGATATACCATATTCTTTGCATATCACATCGATCTGCTGACTGCAATCAGCAACCAAAATGTTATCTGTTTCATTGTTGTAGGTTCAGCAACTTGCTGCGGCTGCAATGTGCGACCGAATGTTGTCCATTTCATTGTCACATGTTATTGCGATCTAGTCTCAGGTCCAGTAGCATGAAACTTTTATTTTTCAATCGCTAATTATTCTGTTTTATTTAAAATTGTGATTTGCGGCGATCATAGCACAACATCAAAATGAATAAAACAATATGTTTATTCAAAAAAAAAAAACGAATAAAACAATATGTGATTTGCGACTTATAACCTGATCCCACGTTCAATCATGCGACAATAAAAAGAACTACAACCTGCGGTTGATATGCAAAAGACATATAACATGTACATACAAACATAATTAAGTAATTAACATGTGATGTGTAGAGTATAATGAATAATTAATCTTGGTAATGGTGCTCCCAAAATTATTGCACGGAAAGTGATAGTAAGTTAACTTCCGACAGTTATTATAATTGTTAAAGTTAATTATTGAGTAATGGATTCAATGTGGATAGCATGAAAAAGAAATGATTGACGATAATTATTGGTGTATATACCCACATGCGATATGAATGATCGTATGAAGTCCACCAGCCATATAATATATATATATATATATATGCACAGTGTATAATTTGATAAGGACAACCTCTTACTTATCAAAAAGGTGAATGTATTTCAGTTTCTAATCTGGACAGTTTGCTTTGACTCATTGACAACTTCCCTTGCAAAAATCGCACTTGCGTGGCTACCTGTGCCTGATGCACATTTCTTTGATACCGTGATTTATGGAACGATAGCGATGTTAATATGTGAGTCGTAATAGTATATTGAAGCTCAGTAGTAATACCCAAGTACTACACCTACAAACTATGTGAATTTATAATTATGACTTGTAAGAAAAATACGAATGTGTATGTTGTTAAATGAAAAAGGAAGACTCAAGTAAGAGTGTCTTACACATAACATATACTTCACATCCTTGATTCTGAAGTAAGTTAGATAGATCATCAAAACTTATTTTTCCATTTAATATATACAAGATAGCAACGATTACATGAGAAGAAAATTGCTAACTATGAAGACCAGTTTCGAGAATTTCCCCGAATAATTACAGATAACCCCGAATTACTTTGGAGTTTTTGTTTTTGTTGGTTTCCGTTGTGACAGATAACTAAAACAATGGCGTCGTATTCACACGTTACGCAAGGAAGAAGTACCTTCCTGGTTCTGATTATGGTCTGTCTCTAAACCGGATACCATATTCTAATCCGGTTTATAAACAATATCCAGAAGGAAAGGCCTCACTGTATCTGACCAAATATCTCGTCCAGATGAAGCGGGTGGTTGTTGTCTATGCCTCACTTGGAGCATCACCAGCTCGTCGGTTAGCTGATTTATATCGACCACCATCGCGAAATGACCTTTATGTCCTTGTATCTTCATCCCACAAGCCTCTTTTTTGGCCACCGTAAGATTCTCCGCCACGGCAATCTCCTCTAGCTTCTCCACCACTCTTTCTACCGTCCAACACGAGATGAACCGCTCCACTCTCTCGTACTTTCTGGTATAGCCGGGGAACAGACCGGAGAGATTGAAACCGGGAGATCCCGAGATGATGTCGAAGGCGTTCATACGGCGTGCTCCTCCGTCGATCTGGAGTTTCATGTCTGCGTCCTCGAGGTGGAGTTTGGAGAGGCGGTGGTCGTAACCATGTTTGAACCAGGGATCGTGGATGATCTCTTGGATGGTGATCCGGGAGTGAGGGTTGGTGTCGAGGAGGCGAGTGAGGAGTCGGCGGAGATCAGGAGAGGTCCACTTGGGGATGCGAAACTCTCCCTTGTAGATCTTCCGGTACATGACCATTAGGTTATGGTCGTTGAAGGGTAGATAGCCTGCGTTGAGCACAAACAGTATCACTCCGCATGACCATACGTCTATTTTAGCACCCTCGTATCCTTTCTTCCCCAGAACCTCCGGTGCTACGTATGCCGGCGTTCCACACAGTGTGTGAAGTAGTCCATCGGGTCGGATCTGTTCCGTCAGGGCGCTCAGCCCGAAATCCGATATTTTCAATTCCAGCTTTTCGTCCAGGAGGAGATTCTCAGGCTTCAGATCTCGGTGATACACCCCTCGTGAGTGGCAGTATCCCACGGCCGAGATAAGCTGCTGGAAATAGCGACGGCTGAGATCCTCGGAGAACCTCCCCTTGGAGACCTTGCCGAAGAGCTCCCGGCCTTTGGCGAATTCCATGACGAAGAATATCTTGGATTTGGTGGCCAGAACCTCGTAGAGGCGCACGATGGAAGGGTGACGCAGGCGGTGCATGATAGCGATCTCCCTCTTGACGTTCCCGTTAAGGCCTCCCTTGTTCACCCGTTGCTTGCTCACCACTTTGATCGCCACGCTCTGCCCTGTCCCCGTGTCTCTCCCGTGGTACACTTTCGCAAACGCCCCACATCCTACCAGCTTCCCCACCTCATACCTCCCCACCACTACTCCCCCGCTTCCACGCCCGTTCTCCGCCTGTTCCGTCTCTACCATTTACAATAATAATTCTTCAATTCCAGTATCGAGAAACTGAATTTTGCGTTACCATTTCAGAATTCAAACAAATAATAACTGTCGACTGGGTGTTGTTAATAGCCCCAACGACATATAAAGTGTGAACAAATAAATATTAAATGATATGTTCTGTTTTGAGTTTAACTTAGAGAAAACATGAGACGGGTTTAATAAACTGGATAAGAAATAATATGGCTCTGTAATCGAGTTGTTACATTTATATCAGTGTCTTGAGGTAGGAGACGAGGGCCTTTATGTAAATAACAAGGTTTATTTCTCTTTTGGTATAAGACGTGATTTTGACCACACACGTGTCTCGTTGCGTATTGTTGTGTTTTCTGACATCTCTGATAGCAGAATTACTAGTGAAATCACATCGCTATGTAGGATCCATCACTAGCTGACTTTCAAACCACCCACCATGGCAGCAGCGTCAGCTCAAAAGTCGACTATAATAATTTTCGCCCTAATCTTTTGATTAGTAATTTTTGTGTCAACAAATTTATCAATGATTATCTATATTTTTATAGTACCTCATTTTAAATGACAAATAAGGTAACGTCAGGCAGAAGCTAAAACAATGCGAGTAAATTGAGATATATACGGCTGATAAGGAGAAGTCCTAAAAAACAAATATATAATTTAAACATACTGTATTCTGATGACATCAACCATTTAAATTTTAATTGAATTTTTCATAGTTTTAAAAAACCGTATTTTCAAACTGAAAAATGGGAGACAAAGTCAATAATTCTACAACTGCGTAAATATCAACCACGCAATCGTTACCATATTCATAAAAATGATAAAACACAAAAAGATGTGGCCTTTGGACAAAGTTAAAGAACTAGTTTGTTTGCACGTCGGCTAATTAGATTTCTAAGATAAATAAAAATTAAACATGCATCATCTATATCTAACGTATACAGCTCTCTCTCACTTGTACTACTCGATCACGACTTGCACCACTATATTATCGTTGGCAAACATTGTTGGTATCCCCGTCGGAATCACTATTCAGACGTGAATTGTAAGTAACAATAGTATCACGTATGTATCTTAAATATAGGAATGAAGTCAAAGGACAATATGGAATGTCCAGGTTCAGGGAGATGAGGCGTATTTAAGTATCCCGGGACAATTTTATATTCTCTCGACCATTCCTTGTTTAGGATATTAGTCTGTTTTAGGTCTACACTACGTTTTTGGAAATTTCTGGATTTGTTTTTATCTTTTGTTTAGAGATCGGTGTGTTCTACCCATTTGGGTTGCAATCATCAGGGTTACTTTTTCTTTAATATGAATTTTTTTTTTTTGGTTTCTGTACCAGTATTCCTTTTCATCCTTTGTACTTAGTTTTCGGTAGAGAAATATGATTCTAGAAAAAATTTTATCTTTGTTGAGTTTTGATTTTCCAGAAGAAAATTGTTCCATACCAGTTTATGTATGTATGATGCTATAACTGCATTTCACTTGTTTTAATTTAGTATTCAGATGTCATTTTTTGTTTTGATTTCGCTATCTTATTTACGCATTTCTAATTGATTGCTATAACTATTTTTTTATTTACTGTGTCTATTGATGTGTTGACATCTAATTGATTTCCAGACTCAATTTGAAGAACATTATTAAACTAAATAAATAGCTTATACTATCAATGATGTTGATATCCTTATAATTTGTTTTTTCCATACATATTCGTTGAGACAATTATATAGTGACTTAAAAATTATGTCGAGTTTGTGGAGTGAGTCAGCATAACTCGATAGGACTTTGTCGTCTTCCCTCCGAATAATTAAGCGATGATGTAGCATATATTAAACTAATTGAGTGCATGTGTTTATAGTCATCAATAATATACAAAACAGGTGACTCCGGTTTACGCACAAATTGATTCGGTGAATAAAAAAGGGTGTGTCTACACGGGAAACATCAGCCAAAATCCGTGTAATGTCTTAAAAAATTTCACCCACCAACTCGTTTTGTTTAACCCTTCACGGCAAACTGTTGCTTTCAAATTACATTTGAATCAAGTTAGAACGGAGCATAAATGCGGAGGTCTGAGCTTTAGCTTTAACTCAGACAAAAAGGAGTCGTATTATTATTATCAAACTCGCTTTGAACCTTTGAGTAGTAGATATATAATAAACGTATGAAATAATAAGAGTTCGCCCTAGAAGAAACCTCCCAGGCCCGGTTCCCGATGTGCGCCGTTTGGATGGATCTGCTCCACTCCACCGTTGTTTAGCTTTCCCTCTTTGAAGAAGCTCCATCCTTCATGTTTCTGATGGTAACTGTTTCTCTCCCGCTGCGCTTCAGGCCTCCTCCCGATCCACCACCATGTAAGTTTCTCCCGCTTGGATCTCTCTCTCCCATCGAACCACCGGAACCACCAGACCCTCCCGATGCAACTTCTCCTTTTCGTTTCCTCATCACCTTCTCCAGCCTATCTCTTCAAGCGGTGGCCCAAACCCTAGATCTGGATTTTCCATTGTTAGCTTATCCTTCTCTATGGGATTATTTCCATCCAACTATGATAGTTGAATCCATCATTTACTCTGCTATAGAGTGTCCTTTGCATGTTACTGTTTTCTACTCTGTTATAGAGTGTTCATTGCCTGTTACTACCTTCTACTCTGCTATAGAGTGTTCACTGCCTATTATTTCCTGGTTTCAGATCTTTCTAACTCTCTCTAGAATGGAATACTTAATGTTGAATTACAGATTTTCACCATGGTTGTGGTTTCAGATCTTAATTGTCACCACTCTTTTGGAACCAATTTCAACTTCCCTATTACCATGGTTTTTGTACCCTTGCTGCTCATGTGTTGCAAGGTTGACCTTTGGATTGGAAGATTGCTCTACAGATGATTTGTTCTCTGTACTGTTTAAAGGCCCAGCATCTTGGTGTCTCATCACCTCTGCTATTGTAGCCAATGTTAAAATTGTTGTTTCTGCACTAGTTGCAGTACCAATCACAAGCATTAGATCACTGATTGTGTTCTTTGTTTCTCATGGCGTCATTCCACTGCTTAAGCCTAGTGTTGTCGAGATACGAGGACGTCTCTCCAATGTTAGTTGTTTATGTATAATGATTGCTTCTATCTTTCTGTTTTTGCTTGCCTTTTGTTGCAGCAAAGTTGTTAGCCGTTATGGTTTTGTTATCATCTTTGTAAACATTGTCTCCTCTAATGGAGATTAGTTATCTATAAAATCTTGTTTGATCAAACAAAAAAAAAAAAAAAAAACGTATGAAATAATATTCTCTTTTTTTTTGTTTCTGTTCAAAAAACTTAGGAAAGATATCATCATACACTAATAACCGCTGGGTACCTTTCTACCACTTTTGGTGTCTGTCTCCTCTCTTGTTGTTGGGCGTTACATTCACACATGATATAACACAGAGCTCCAAAAGATGAGTTAGAATAGGTAACCGCTTGCCTCAGTCACACAAAGTATCAACTGTTCCAAGACATATTGATGCTTCATCAAACATTCATAATGGAGTGACGCGGAGGATATATAAAAAACATGATTAACTTTGGAAATTTGAGACGGGTTATAAATAAACAAAAAAAAAACAAATATGGGAAAACAAACATGATTAAATTGACTGTGCATGAGAAAATTGTATATCACTTGGACAGCCCAATAATTAATTCTTTGGAGGGGGGTTGGGGGGGGGGGGCGGTTGAGATTTTTTTTTTTTTTTTTAACAAACGTAATTTTATTTCTCAAAAAGCTATAGCTAGGTTTACTCAAATTTATCAACGATCACACCTTTTTTTTTGAACAAAAACCACACTTCATTAATAATGTTTAAATGTTATTTAAATTAGTTAAAAAAAATATTTGTGAATTAATTTAAAAGAGCTATTTTTTGTGAATTTAGAAAAGTTTTGCTGTCAAAATATAAAACATAAATTCGAAAAGACCTTTATATCAACATATATTAACTAAAGTCTATTTATTAAATTAAAAGCAGTAACAATGGACTGGTTTAGATGGGTTTATCAACTAATTTTGAATTACTTATCTTCAAGATTCTCTATTTCTCTTCAATATAATTTAAAAAATGTACAGAAATTTAAAACCTTAATTAAAACTAAAATAAATATAAGTATAGTAGAATATTTAAACGAATAAAACTATATACTTTTTAGTAAGAGATGTTTTAGGCATTGATTGAAAAAACATTAATAAAAATATGAAATTTAAGCAACATACTTGTTAATGTACATCATACTAGTAGTTGTCTTGACTCATTCGTATAGTGCTCTGAGTGACTGTTATTTCGGGAAAAAGCCCGAAGAAAGTATGAGTAACTTGGGCTTGGAAAAATAAAAGAGGCCCATAATCATGAAAGCAGGGGGACACGGTGTGTGTATAGGTTTAGAGAGAGAGCCTCTCTCATTCGAGGGTTTAGAGAGAGAGAGAGACATGGGTGATGAAGCAGCAGAGGAGGAGAGGTTTGAGTGGAAGCTTAAAGTTGGTATGAGAGTGGGAAGATTCAAGTTGAAACTCCATCTTCGAAACCGACTAATCTCATTATGGAAGCTTCATAGATTGTCATTCTTGGTTAGATTCAGAAAGAAGCATCATATCAGAATCGATTCTGAATCAAAACCTCAATGTGGAGGCAAGTCCAGAATGGGATTCATACGGAGGAGTCTTGGTGTCCCCTGGAGGCGGAGAGTAGTGGCAAAGGTCTGATCCAAAAAGAAAAAGGATGAAGAAGAAGGCATCTGGAATGGATCCGCCGTGGCCGTGGGTGTGGTGGCAACTCTCATCATCGTCGTCATTCTCTGTTTTCTACTGCCAAAATAACATTCTTTCTTTTTTTCCATTATCTTTTTTTCGCCAAAATAATAATGAAAAGACTCTATATAGTTTTCTTAGAGCCCACAATAGTGTAAGGGCTCGATAGTGGCCCATTAAGGTTCTGATAGCGTTCCTTATCCCCCTCGGGCTCTCTCTCTCGAAGTCGAAACACTCAAGTAGAAGCTCCCAGTTATGGCGGCGACATGGACATGTTTTGTAACTTCCTTGTGTATTTCTTCACCTTCTTATAAACCTTTGTTGTCCTCCTCATCTCTGTCTTTCCGGAGGCAATCATCCGTGCCCACAACCAACAGATTTTCCAGTTAAAATATATATATTTTTTTTGTCTAATTTAAAAGATCTGATTATATGTGTGACTGACTGACTGAGGGTGATGATTATACAGGGATCTATGCGCTGTCTAGCAATGACATCAAAGTCGGGACTAGCATCGAAGTCGATGGTGCTCCCTGGCGTGTTCTGGGTAATTCTTCTTTCTTTCTTTCTTTCTTCGGAATTGGTCGTATAGAGAGAGATTAAGGGCATTATTATTGGTTTGTCATGTGGGCAGAGTTTCTTCATGTGAAGCCAGGCAAAGGTGCTGCTTTTGTCAGAACCAAAATCAGGAACTACGTTAATGGTAGCACCGTCGAGAGAACCTTTCGTGCCGGAATTACTGTATGTGCAACATAACCTCCTCCTTCTTCTCTTCCCTTATACAAACTGATCGAGCCTATATTGTTTTATTATTTTCAGATGGAGGAGGCAAATGTCTTCAAGGAGACTAAGCAATTCACTTATAAAGACGGCTCTCAGTTTGTTTTCATGGACTTGGTATACATGCGATATATATATATATATATATATATATATTTGATTGGCTGCTCTTTGTTTTTCTGTTTGGCTATTTTGAACCCCTTTATTTCTTTTCTTGGTTGCTCAGAGCAGTTATGAGGAAACACGTTTAAACGAGGCTGACATGGGCGACAAGACCAAATGGCTTAAAGAGGGTATGGACTGCAATCTTCTTTACTGGAAGGACAAGGTACTCTCTATATTACTTACGAATTGTTTTCTTACTTAAAAAAAGACCACTCACACTCAGGTCTTCATCTCTCTCTCTCTCTTCCAGGTCATCGATTTTGAACTTCCCATTACAGTTCAGCTTAAAATAGTTGATGTTGATCCTGGTCTCCGAGGTGACACTGCACAAGGTACCTATGTGATGTTCAACATTCTCTTTTTGATTCATGGTCCATAGAAAACTAACCTGGAGGGTGTGGTGGATTCAGGTGGAACAAAGCCTGCCACACTCGAGACTGGTGCAGTTGTCAATGTACCCCTCTTTGTCAATGTTGGTGAAGATATTATGGTGGACACCAGAACGGGCACGTACATGAGCCGGGTGTGATCACTGTCACACTTCTTCTCTATTGCTAACGACTAAGGAAGTGGCGAGATTTAATCTGTCTGTTTAGTTGATCCAACTCCCAGAATTGCTACTACTATAGAATATATGATTCAAGGGCAGTATTTAGTATGATATCCTCACTTTGCTTTTGCATGTGAGATCGATCACTATGCTTTACCAAAATTTAAAATCGCCTAGTAATTATACTCTACTGTTTTGAGTTTCTCCCGGCCACCATGTTTAAGTGTGCGTACTGAGTAACAATGTTCGGCTTAAACGGATGAATTAAGTGAATGTAAAGTAGGTGTCAAAAGTACCAATTAAAATTGATTGTGTAAGCTTTTAGGGACTATTCTATATAGCAATGATAAAATGTGTGAAGACTCTGTTCTTACAACTCAAGCTGAGAAGAAGGCTGATTGTTGTGGATGGTTATGGAGAGGCATGTATTGTCTGCAGCACATGATTTTTTAATAATTAAGGAAACTCCACAGTCAAAATCAGTTTAATATATAACAAGTCAAGCCAATATTGAACAAGTTTGTCTTTGAGAAGCAGACCCGAATTCTGTATTTGTAAAGAGTGTAAGCTCCCAAAGCAGCTGATCCCAGTCCCATTATCATTATCCAGCTTACATCTCCTCTTGCATCCTTACCTGTGCTGTCAGTTTCAATGCAGTTTTTTTTAAGAAAATGGGCGACCATTGTTTCCAATACTTATTTGATGAATGGTGTATAAAATAATACTTATGAAAATGTCGTGCTCTCTGATGTAAAGCAGGCTTCCGCTGCAGCTACATTCATAGCTTCCCCATGTGTTCTTGCATTTGAAGCCGCGACACTGGCACGCTGTTTTCTCCTCACACTCATTTACATCTGTATTTATAACGCATTAACAACATTTGGTATTTTAGTTTTTAGTTCAACCTCTCATATTTCATATGTTTGGTCTATTCAAAAAAAAATTCCTTCGCAGTTTTTGAGCCCATCTCCCTTGAATCCAGGTGGACATTTGCAGCCTTTCGAATGATCATCCTGACAACAACAAAAAAAGGAAAGAACCATAAATCTTTTATATAGAAAGAGAGGCCATGTCATGTCAAAAAAATAGAGGATGAAAGTCAATTTGTTCGCTTAGGTATGTCATATTACCCACAAGCGTGGTCTTAGATACTAGTTTTCTACAAGTCCAGTCTCATGAGCATAGAAAGTATACATAGATAATTTCTGATCTTTATTTTTCCATATGATGCTTTTGTAAATGTAACCAAATGGGTTTTTTGATTGAATAAATTCAACATTCAATTCAAAAAATATATATTACCCGACAAGCCGAATATGTTCCTCCCATTTGAGTATGTTTCCAGCATCCTCCATTGTTTATTACACAGTGCAATGCGCCTGACACTGCCATATCTAATTTTTTTTTTTTTTTTAAACAACTCTTTGTTTCAAACTCAAACCATATTACAAGACTAAGCAACTAACCAAAACGACTTCTACCAAAACGGCTATACAAGGAACTTAACAATGCCCTTAAAACAAACTCATCCAAGTACCCAAAAAAGTAAGAGAAGAATTACTAGAGAGCCTCATGTTCCGAGACAAAGGATCCAACTTTAAAGGAAGAGTCTTCTTGATGTCCTGAATAATGGCTTGAGCGGGTCGGCACAAACCAGTGTGTAACCGGGAGTTTCTCTCCTTCCTGATCAAATAAATAGCAGCTTGAAAGAGCAATTTGATGATAAGGACACTGTTGGTATCCGGAGTAGGCGCCTTCAACCACCTCAAACAATCTTCAAACAATATAGGAGGTGATACAGAGAGGCGAGAGCAGAAGTAGGACCATATCTCAGAGCTATAGATGCAGTCAAAAAATAAATGTTGCCTGCATTCATTAACCCCTGAACATAAAAGACAGCTCGACGGGACATCCATTCATGCATGTCGTAATTGAGCTTTTATTGCCTTCACAATGTGTGTAACCGTCCCTCAAACACTTGACACCTTGAACAATGGGACATCGACATACTCTTCCTCTGAAAGTGTCCTGCAACATATCATAATTAATGCTTTTTTAAAAGCAACGTATACCTAGTGGTGTAACATAACATTCTAGCAAAACCAAGAAAGATTCCTTAAGATCTCACGTACCCTGCAAGCTGTAATGTTGGTAGTCTTATCTTCCCAACATCCTCCATTGTTTTGTAAACACTCATTGGTTTCTATGTCTGGCCAAACACAGAGCCCCAAAACCACACATTAGAAAGTAGTATAGGATATCAGACAAATAAACCAAACAGAGCCATGTACAATGAGGAATGAGCCATGTACCTCTTTTCAATTTGTACCTCGGTTGAGTAATGAGCAAGCTGATTTAGTGGCAAAATCAGTTCTCTTATTGCTTAACTCTTCTCCTTTAGGAGCTTTGTAGACCTTTCTTTATAATATGAAGTAGTTGTTTGATCAAAAAAAAAAAAAAGCCATGTACAATGAGGAACTAATCAGTTAACACTGAAGAACTCTCTTGCTTCTCACCTCTGTATATGAGATATTAACACTGAAGAACTCTCTTGCTTCTCACCTCTGTATTGTCTGTTGTTTATCACAATAGTTGACGTACACACCTATATAATTAAATAATTATTACAAGTGAGGAATCCAAATCCCGACCTGTCAAATTGATACATCATGGATCGATCATGGCAGTGTGAGTGGCTTAGGGTGGTGTCTTAAGGACCAGATGGGCTATGAATGGGTCAGACAACAGGCGTGCAGGAGGAGCCGTTCAGCTCTGCATGCAGAGATAGAAGGCCTATTCTGGGCAGTCTCATGTTTGAGAGATTTGCGGATCAACTCGGTGAGGATTGAGACGGACTGCGCGGACTTAATAGACATGTCTACTAATCCGGAGGAATGGCCAACCTTCACAACAGAGATCGAGAGGCTTAGGAGACTACATGAAGACTTTGAGGATATGAAGTTTTCTCATATTCCTCGAAGTAGGAATGGTCGAGCAGATGGATTAGCGAGAGAGGCGAGGAGAAAATGATATACTTTTTCCCATATAGATCAGACCAGGCCAGATGGAGATGTTCCTAGGAGGATCGACTCGTTTGATCACCACTTGATCTAGCTTTAAATGGGCGGCTGACAAAAAAAAAAAAATCTCTTAAGAGCTAGGAGTTAAAATATATTTTCTAATGTTTCCATTCACCATCGACCAAATTGTAATGAAAGGAATAATCTTAATGTTTTTTTTTCCTTTTTTTCAATTGTTATCTAGATTTGATTTAATTTTTCATGTCTCTGAAAATTATAATATGAAACCATTGGTTTGATACCAGGACTGTTTAAAATTCATATAACATGAAACCAAAAAATAATAATAGTTTTTGGTTTTCATTAAAAAATCTAAAAAACTCAAATATTTTAACCAAATAAACATAATAAATACTGATTAAGAATAGTAATTATTTTTAATAGATTTAAAACAAAAACTAACCTAAAACCGAACTGATATTCAGATTAAACCTATGTTACATGGAAACGGAAACGGGTACGCGGTATAAAGCGTGGAAAGACAGTTTTAGAAATATTTAAGAAGCAGATACGTGTTTCGAACGAATAATTTATTTAAACCTCATATACGACCTAATTAGTGGACTAATTTTTATAAAACTTTTATTTTCTAGAGAAACATGAACATCTAAGGTCTCAAACCTCTTTAGTTTTCATACTATGTCATTGCATGATGCAGCTATGCATTAAGAAAATGTCATATTTTCTAATTTATTTTGAAATATGTGAGTTAACCCTACGAAAAAATTGAAGTTTCTGATAAATGTTATATATATATACTATTTAGATTTTAGTGTTCTTTAAAAATACCTAACTAGACTCTAAATTTATATATATATATATATGCTGAACTTATTTTCATGATACATCGACATTATTTTTAATTTTTCAGTGCGTAACTTATTTAAACTTCATATACTAATTAAAAATGGATTAATCTCTATAAAATTTCTATTTTCTAGAGAAACGAAAACATTTAAGGTTTCAAATCTGTTTAATCTCCATATTGTGTCGTTGCATGAGCTAGCTATGCATTAAATCCTAAACTATTTTATCTTATTTATCTTGGAATATGTGAGTTAATCTCTATAAAAAATCAAATTTACTGATAAGTGTTATATATACTAAAGTTTATTATCTTTAGTTTTGTTTAAAAATATCTAAATATATTCAAAATTTATATTAATGTACTACTCTAATCTAATCTCATATATTTTATTTTGTTTTGTTTTGTTTTGACAGGTCGTGATGATGCTTTTATCCTAATCTGATCTCATATTTATAAGAACGAGCATAAGTTGAAATCCAAACAAAAAAAAAAGCACATGCGGATTCGCTTATTATATAACAAGTGCCTTTTGTAGCAGTTGATCTCCTTCGTTGGATTAATAAATATGAGATTAGATTAGGATTAATGCATTCTCACGATCTGTCATCCATACTTCAACCCTCCATTACGTATGGTACGATGAGGTCACGTACCCTACGTCACTTTTGACGGAGCTCACTCACTTACGCCGTTTAAATTGGCTCCTCTGTTTTTCACATTATAATTAGGCGTTTCAACTTCTCAGGTGCGCGTGCCATATGACTTTTGGACTTGTCTCATTGTCAGAAATTCATAACTTCACTCTCACCAAAAATAAAAATTATGCACTCTTGTTGTCTTAAAATTCTAGTTACGTGGTTAATAATATAGTTTAGTTTTCCTAACACCATATTTTGTAAGGGATATTCCTGAATTGATATGAAGATGGAAACCACTCTACCTAAAAGAGAAGAAGATCCAAGTGAAATAAATTAGATACCCCAAACAAACAAAAAAGTTATGAGTTTACACATATATAATTGTTTACTACTAGTATTAATTATTAATTTAAAAAAGCTGTTGGTTAAGTCACATAGTAATGCTCATTGTTTTTGTCTTTATATCGTGGGTTAAACCTCAAGGGCCACACGTTACTCCCCACATTCCTAATTACATAATAGTATGATAATTAATACATTACATATATACGAAATTTCCCATCAACAACCTCATTAAAAAAGATGGAATATTGTATTAAGAGGCGCATCACCTCTCCTAGTTAATAATCTCGAATTGGACAAACACACAGAGAACATTGCTTAAGTCACAACAAATAATCAAAACGATGAAGTCTTACCAGGAAAAGGTTATGGAGAAGCTGCTTCACGGCCATGGGTGTGCCAACCAGCTCAAGCTAATCATGGACCACCACGCCGAGTCAGACTCGTCCATGGAAAGGGAGGATCTGGCCAAGTCCGTCCTCCATTGTTTCACCGATGCTCTCTCCATCTTGACCGATACTAATGATCATCACCAAGATGATGATCAATCCAATAACTCATCTGCCCGAGACTCTTCACATGTTCTTGAGAGCAACAGGAAACCACTTCACAAGAGGGGAAGGTATATAAATATAAAAGTTAACCTACTTAATTAGTCAATTGAAATATTAAAGAATTGTTGAATGAAATGATCGATGCTCATCATGAGAAGCCTAGTGGTTGTAGAAAGACATCAATGGCGGAGAGCTCAGATTACCGTAGACACGAATCCCCAAACCCGATCTACCACGACGGCTTTCTTTGGAGGAAATACGGACAAAAGCAAATCAAAGAATCGGATCACCAAAGGTATAATTATCAATTAGCATTCACACTTAATTTACATATATAAATAGTTGATGGTGTTAATAAACAAACAAAAAGTGATGAAATATCAGGAGTTACTACAAGTGTGCGTACACAAAGGACCAGAAATGCGAAGCAAAGAAGCAGGTTCAAATGATCCAAAACAACCCTTCATTGTACTCAACCACTTACTTCGGCCGCCACACATGCCAGCTTCATCAAGCCTATGAAACTTTCCCCACTGACACCTCAGATCCCCAAGATTCACACATGATTCGATTTGATCACCCAGACTCCTCTACCCATCACATAATTCATCTCAAAGATGAAAAAATGATGCCCTCTGAGAAAGCAGAAGAGTGGTCGTCTCCATCTGAGTATATGTCCTCTGAGGTTGCCTGCGCGGTGGAGGCTTTCGGGTTTAACCCTGTTCGCACATCAAGTGACTTTTCATGACCACACTCTTCCCGTCACTATCCTACAGCTTTTTTAGTTATTTGTTTCCTCATTAGGTCCTATAGTATCCTCCCGTTACTTTTTTTTTTGCTATGCATCTCTCTATGTACTTCCTTACCTCCACTTGAAGCTTTTGTTTTGAGTATCAATAAGGTTTATTAACGCAGCAATCGCTGTTTGGGATGGTGCCAACTTTATAACATTTGTTGTGTAAATTTTCTAGTAATCTCTAACCGTCACTATGAGGGTGAACCCTGTATATAGCTAGACAGACTTGGTGGCTTTATTCTACATTGAGGAGGTTAAGTGCCTAATGCTCGACTCCACATAGAATTAATTTTAATCTGTTGACGTAAGGATCTTTGCCAGCTAGGGTCTCCGGACGCCGGAGTTCGGCCGGCCACACCACGGCTAATTAGTACAAATGTATGAAACCATAAAATTGCAAAACGTTGGGGCACAATTTTTGGATCTATTTTCCATCCGCGCGCATAGCAAAATGTTTTCGTCAAGTCTGTCATAGCTTATAGAATTTTCCGTTAAGGATATTGACATACTAAATTTATATTTGTTTCTAAAAAGGTTATAGGTATCAATATTATTATTCTCATTAATAAAGATCGGCACCGGACTCCCTCGTGCTAATCCGATCAACCGTACACAGTCCAGCAGGAGGTTCAAAACGTAGTGAAACAAGAAATTCTTGGTCGGGTCAACGAACTTGCCAAAGAAGGAGATTGGAAAGACAAAGCGACCTTTTGACCCTTGTGCCCTAATATAGATTATTAATACCAGGGAAAAACCTATGTATTTTTAGTTTTGTATTAGTATCTCTTTTTGGGTTGAAGGACTTCTCTACCGATTAGCTGAATAATTACAGAGGTTCTTAGTTTACTACTTATCATATCTATGGGGTTAACATATTTTTTTTTTTAAATTACAAAAATATGAAAATATTTTTTGATTGCATAGTTGCATCATGTAATGACATATGATGATGGTCAAAGAGATTTAGAACCTCTATTGTCTTTGCCTCTCTAGATAATAGATATTTTATATTGGTTAATCTACTATTTAATTTAAGTAATGTATGAAGTTTTATTAAATTAATTGTTAAAAAATGATAACAATGTCTTTGTACCATGAAAAAGAGTTTAGCATACATTAATACAAATATAAAACATGTCTATAAATTTTTAAGCAACACTAAAGAGTGTAAGTTTTTGTACATAGAACATTTAACAAAAAACTCAATATTTTTGTAGGGGTTAATCCACAGATTTTGAGAAAAAATCAAAAATATGAAAATTTTGTTTTAATGCATTGTTGCATCGTTCAGTGGCATAGGATGATAGTCAAAAAGGCTTGGAACCTTTTTTGTCTATGTTTTTCCAAAAAATAGATATTTCTTAGTACTTTAACCATCGCGTAAGTAGTATATAAAATTGTAATAAATTAATTGCTAAACAGTTAGAACGATGTCCATTTATCATGAATGAGTGTTTAGCATACATTAATACAAGTAATAAAATATGGTTTGAGATTTTTATACATAGCTAAAGAGTACAAGTCTCAGTATATAGAACATTTACCGAAAAACTAAATATTTCTATAGGGTTAACATATTTTTTAAATTACAAAAAATATGAAAATATTTTTTGATTGCATAGTTGCATCATGTAATGACATATGATGATGGGCAAAGAAATTTAGAACCTCTATTTTCTCTGCTTCTCTAGATAATAGAGATTTCATATGGGTTAATCTACTATTTAATTTAAGTAATGTATGAAGTTTCATTAAATTAATTGTTAAAAAATTATAACAATGCCTGTGTACCATGAAAAGAGTTTAGCATACATTAATACAAATAGAAAACACGTCTATAAAGTTTTAAGAAACACTAAAAAGTGTAAGTTTTTGTATATAGAGCATTTAACGAAAAATTCAATATTTTCGTAGGGGTTAACCCACAGATTTTGAGAAAAAAATCAAAATATGAAAATTTTGTTTTAATGCATACTTGTATCGTTCACTGGCATAGGATGATAGTCAAAAAAGTTTGAAACTTTTTTTGTCTATATTTCTCCAAAAATAGATATTTCTTAGTGCTTAAACCATTGATTTAGGTAATATATGAAACTGTAATAAATTAATTGTTATACAGTAAGAACGATGTCCATTTATCATGAATAAGTATTTAGCATACATTAATACAAGTAATAAAATATGGTTTGGGATTTTTATACATCGCTAAAGAGTACAAGTCTCAGTATATAGAACATTTACCGAAAAACTAAATGTTTCTATGGGGTTAACATATTTTTTTTAAAATTACAAAAAATGAAAAGATTTTTTGATTGCATAGTTGCATCATGTAATGACATATGATGATGGTCAAAGAGATTTAGAACCTCTATTGTCTCTGCTTTTCTAGATAATAGAGATTTCATATTGGTTAATCTACTATTTAATTTAAGTAATGTATGAAGTTTCATTAAATTAATTGTTAAAAAATTATAACAATGCCTGTGTACCATGAAAAAGAGTTTAGCATACATTAATACAAATAGAAAACACGTCTATAAAGTTTTAAGAAACACTAAAAAGTGTAAGTTTTTGTATATAGAGCATTTAACGAAAAATTCAATATTTTCGTAGGGGTTAACCCACAGATTTTGAGAAAAAAATCAAAAAAATGAAAATTTTGTTTTAATGCATAGTTGTATCGTTCACTGGCATAGGATGATAGTCAAAAAAGTTTGAAACTTTTTTTGTCTATATTTCTCCAAAAATAGATATTTCTTAGTGCTTAAACCATTGATGTAGGTAATATATGAAACTGTAATAAATTAATTGTTAAACAGTTAGAACGATGTCCATTTATCATGAATGAGTGTTTAGCATACATTAATACAAGTAATAAAATATGGTTTGAGATTTTTATACATCGCTAAAGAGTACAAGTCTCAGTATATAGAACACTTACCGAAAAACTAAATATTTCTATAGGGTTAACATATTTTTTAAATTACAAAAATATGAAAAGATTTTTTGATTGCATAGTTGCATCATGTAATGACATATGATGATGGTCAAAGAGATTTAGAACCTCTATTGTCTCTGCTTTTCTAGATAATAGAGATTTCATATTGGTTAATAATTTAAGTAATCTATGAAGTTTTATTAAATTAATTGTTAAAAATTTAAACAATGTCTGTGTACCATGAAAAAGAGTTTAGCATACATTAATACAAATAAAAAACATGTCTATAAAGTTTTAAGCAACACTAAAGAGTGTAAGTTTTTAAATATATAATATTTAACGAGAAATTCAATATTTTCGTAGGGGTTAACCCACAGATTTTGAGAAAAAATAAAAAATATGAAAATTTTGTTTTAATGCATAGTTGCATCGTTCACTGGCATAGGATGATAGTCAAAAAGGTTTGAAACTTTTTTTGTTTATATTTCTCAAAAAAATAGATATTTCTTAGTGCTTAAACCATTGATGTAGGTAATATATGAAATTGTAATAAATTAATTGTTATACAGTTAGAACGATGTCCATTTATCATGAATGAGTGTTTAACATACATTAATACAAGTAATTAAATATGGTTTGAGATTTTTATACATCGCTAAAGATCACAAGTCCGAAAACTAAATATTTCTATGGAGTTAACATATTTTTTTTAAAATTAAAAAAATATGAAAATGTTTTTTAATTGCATAGTTGCATCATGTAATTACATATTATGATGGTCAAAGAGATTTAGAACCTCTATTGTCTCTGCTTCTCTAGATAATAGAGATTTCATATTGGTTAATCTACTATTTAATTTAAGTAATGTATGAAGTTTTATAAAATTAATTGTTAAAAAAATATAAAATGTCTGTGTACCATGAAAAAGAGTTTAGCATACATTAATACAAATATAAAACATGTCTATAAAGTTTTATGCAACACTAAAGAGTGTAAGTTTTTGTATATAGAGCATTTAACGAAAAACTCAATATTTTCGCAAGGGTTAATCCACAGATTTTGAGAAAAAGCAAAAATATGAAAATTTTGTTTTAATGCATAGTT